CTGGGGCAATCTGTGGTTTTGTTCAGTCATCTGGGTACAGAGTGAAGTAAAAGTAAACCATGTTTTGGTTTTGCCAAGTCAGATAAAGCTAGAGAAGTTAAAGACGCTGAGAGATCACAGAGAAAGGATTGTAGCAGTTGAACATGGCTGGGTGAGGAAGAGAGGACGAGCTGTTTCCTTATGTGACAATCCTAGACTGTTACTGCAGGGCTTCCATGTGATGTTGCTCTAGAGTACACACAGGACCAACCACGCACTGTATAAACGCTCACTATGTCCCTCTATCATTTCCATCATAATCACACAAGGAATTTTTGAAATTGCTAATGCCCAGAGCCCAACACAGACAAATAGCATTTCTGAGGGAGGGATCAGGACAGTCTGCTTAATTACTCCACACTTGATCTAATGTACTGTCAGGTCTGCATACTTTTGCAATTAGCTGAATGATCTCTAATATTAACAGTTATAACTGAATGTTTCAAATGGGCAGGCAGTACTCAGTTGTCTTGTTTAAGTACCAAATGTAGTAAGTGGCAGAAGGAGGGATTTCTAGCTTGCTACTCCAATGACTTGAGGTACAGCCCTTCTTGGGACCCTGTTAGAACCACACCACTCACCTGCCGAGCCACAGCTGTATTTTAACAAGATGCCCATGTGATTCTGTACACTGGGTTGAGAAGCCCTGACTTCTGCCACACTGGCCTCTTTACCACCTCATCCTCCTCCCTCTCCCTAAAACAAAGCGCCCAGACAAGCCAGTTGTCTTAAAAAAGCTAATATACTTCTAAAGAGGATTATCTCTGGAAACACTTTATTTTGAATCATACTGAAAGTCTCTTGATATGTCTTTTTTATTTTTATTTTTTAATCTAAAGCCAATAAAGTAACTGGGGACTGGGGAGGAGCCCAGTGGCAAAGTGTGAAATATGTTGTGAAAAACAATTTGTTCATAGCCACGAAGTGATTTGTTCCTTGTTTCTTGGAGTGACCATAGAAGTTTATTACAGTGTCAGATGACTAGTAATATCAGCAGTAAGACTTAAACTGCTCCTTGACTTTTATTTCAATGCATGTTTCGCTACATAAAGATTATAGAATGTGGACAACTACCATTAAGTATGCAGTAAAGCAGTCACTATTTTACTGGTTCCTAGAAACCTAGACAGGGAGAAGTCACTGTCTCTGTATTTGGGAAACCTTGGCTCTATTATAAGCTTTGTTCTTGAAAGACTTTTACAGGTTTTTTGGGTGTGTGTGGTGGGGGTGTGGGGAGGGGAGAACTAGCAACTTTTTGGCTTTTTTTCTGAGTAGAAAATGGAATTCACTGTGAATTGAACATACATAATCCTAGCCGAAATAACATCTAACACTTTAGAATTGATTTAAGGATGTGTTTATTTACAAGATACAAATGTTTAATATTTAATAGGAATTAAAGTGCTTAATTTTACAATGTTTCCAATTATCTGCCTTTATGACCAAATATACATATGTTACACAATATATACACTATCTGCAAGTATTTTACATTCATACAGCTGGAAAAGAAAAAAAACTGTTGTGAATACCTTTTCACATTAGAACCAACCATAAAATTCTGACACACCCTTTCAAACAGCCAACAAATCAAAAGAAAATCAAGATAATACTTATTTTTAAGTATCAGTCAATTGTCACTCACAAGAGGAAATGCTAGTCTGGTTTTATATACAAATATGATTGTTTTGCTAATGAAGACCCCCATGATACATTCCAATATCTACACACTGTGTAACATACAATGCAATTCTGTTATCATAATGGTCCACACAGACTATTGTTTGTTTTCAAATCTATGTCTCACTTTTATATATTTAGTATTCACTTATTAAAATATACTAGGATTTCTTGATTTAATTTTTCACTAAATCTACCACACTGAATTTTAGGAAAAGGGATGACCCTCATGTAACTCTCAGTAACCCTGACAAGGAAATATCTTGAGAAGCCATGTGCTATTTCATCTCATTCAGAAGCCAGAAGGCCATGAATGAGTTAGAGGGGTGTTTTTCCTCAATAAGCAGTGCAGAAAATGGTCTAGAGAATGAAATTATTATTTTTTTAAAACCTAAAGGAAAAAAAGTAACAACGTACAATAGTCTACAATTTAGAGGCCAAGGTCAAAGCCTGGGTGCAATTGATCACATCAGCATGCAAGTACATACACTTAAAATTTAAAATTTATATTCTTTGTGCAATTTAGTATTTTTTCCCCTAAATACATTGCTCTGATCTGGAGACTAGCAGTTTTTCTATCTACTTCTATCTCTTCATTCTTGGCTATTTTAGTTTCTAATCTCATTCCTTTCTACTCTACTGGTAAAGAAAGCAGGTACCTTCATATGACTGAACATGATTAAAGGGCATGTGAGGATGAATTATACATTAAAAATCCATGTAAATAATTTATGTTAAAATACTTAAGTTAAAAAATTTCTATAAAAATTTTATTCCTGTGGAGAGGACTGAAAAATCAACAATTTTTACATATGTACATACACATATAAATTCACAGAAAGGAATTTTTTAAAGTAGACCTAGTGGTCTCTTTCTATAATACTCATATTTGCTAAATCTAGAGAAGCTATTGTAGACAGCAGTATGAAAATAAACGGTAGTCTGGTTCTAATAAAGCTGGATAAGAATTGAAGTAACATGATCCACTGTACATGTCCGTACAGTCCTAAGAACAGGAAATGGCTAGCCGCAATTCTTACAGTAATACATTCCTGAAGAGTACAACAGTTAAGAAGGAAACATTGAGACATTCCTGCCTTTCAAAGTTTAGTTTATAAACACCATGTGCTTATCTCAGACCCACTAACATGAACATTGTGTGATGTAGGAAATTTTAGTTAATTTTCTATTCTGCATTATAGCAAGGATACTTGCAAAAAAAAAAAAAAAAAACTTTGTTCCCTAGAAATTTATTTGCTCCTGTTAGTGCCAGTTCCTCAGGATATAAATAGTATGGAAAGATCATGATTAGAGCTGTATCACTGATAATATGCTGAGAATAACTTAAGACTTTGGATATAAACAAATGAGGTCTAAAATTTGAAGGGGAAAAAAATCCCTACCTTGTCTCCACAAAGTAGAAATTAGAAAAACCAAAACAGAATCATGAACTTCCAGAAGTATTTTTAAGAAAAGGTTTTTAGAAGGCTTCAATGAATGTTTAATAACCTTGCAGTACCATGACGTTTATGGTTTCTTTATACATTTATGACTAGTACAAGTATTCTGTTAAAAAAAATCCACAGGGTACATATAAAAGGTTAGTTAAAGTTTGGTAATTTTTAAAACTGGGGTAGGTCACGCAGTAAAGATAAGTATACCAGCCTATATGTGAAATTCAATCTCACAAAAAATAAAATGTAACTTGATAAAATGGTGTAGATGTGGTGGTTTCATTATCCATACCTTTGTGAAAATAAAAATGTTTTTGATGGTATCTGCATCCAAGGAATGATGTCCTTGTGGGTGGGGGCCTTCATATTAAACTTCCAGTATAAAACCACACCTGGGGAGTTTTATTGCTTGCATACATGATAGCACTATTACAGAAGTGGCTGGTGGTATTTTTCATTATTGAGCCCCACTTAAAACATTGAGATAAAAGTCTGCACCACATCTCACAGTTTATTTCCCAAATGGTACACTTTCAACAAGAGTGAAATTTAAACTTAAAAACTTAGAATGTTTCTAATGAATAGCAGTATTATCACAGAAGTATTTTTTTTTTTTTCTAAGTTTGAAGGAAGGACACTTTAAAGGAAAGATGACTTTGCAAAGCAATTGGCCATATTTTTAGGTTCAATTTGTCATTACAGCTCAGGTGTCTCAGGCAGTAAAAAACACTGATTATTCTTATAACCAACTGCTCTTTTGGGTCTTCTGATTTAACTGGATGTTTAATAAGTGGCTAAGAGCATTCCTTTACTTTTCTCTAAGTAAATGTAGTAGGGAATTGTTAATAAGAGAGAAAGGAGGGCTGGGGTGTGGCTCAAGTGGTGAAGAGCCTGCCTTGCAAGTACGGACTCCTGAGTTCAAACTCCAGGACCAAGAAAGAAGAAAGAGAGAGAGAAAGGGGTAAGGCTGCTTCACTGCTTCTCTGCTGTGCTTGGTTCAAGAATGTGGGGTAAAAGATGAGGATGGTTACTGGATAACCAGAGATCTTCTTCTAGTAGTAAAACTTCTCATTAAAAATAATTAAAGCTAGTGAATGGTAAGAGCATGGTAATATCTTTTTATGAGCATTCTTCCAATAATCTAAGTTAAACAACATTGATGGTGTCCATGTTACTTCTATTCCAGAACTTAATGGTAGTGAAAGTATAGTCTTCTTGCTGTTTAAGTAGTTCTCAAAAAAATAATGTGACACAGATCTTCTGACACACAGATCCATTGTTCTCTCATTTACAAATGTCACCTTCCTCTGATAATCATGCTATATTTTTATTGCTTCTCATTTCTTGATATTAAGAAAATCCAAGTATCATCTATAGCACAGTGAAGAATGTAAAATTTCTTTTAGCTTGGCCCTGACTTAATAGGGCACAAGAAGCAACCTTTTCTTTTTGTGGCTCAAGTAGTTGATTTAATGTTAATGATCACATCTGGTATTCCATTCATGGAGAAAGGGAATAATTATGTCAGCCCTAACTGGTTCACTTGCACCTTTGGAGGAAAATAAAAATAGGGCAACAAGGGCTGAATGAATGTGTAGCAGTCTCCAATTTTGAGTAGATCTATTCTGCACTTAAGGTGCAGTCCTGAAAGACTGAGGACAGTGGGGTCATTGTGGATTTCTAGCAAACTGATACATTAAAAAGGAACAAATTCAGGGTATGACAGTGTAAAAGAAAAAAAATCTAATTTGAGAAAAGGATTAAGTTAAATAGTCAACTTGGCATGAGATTTTAATCACAAATACAATATAATGAAGTGCAGCCTTCATGACAAGGAATCACAATTTATCATTAAAATTCCACAGAGGATAAAAGGGTAAAAATAGTTCATATTTTCTTTAATTATCTTTACTCCTAAAAGGCTGTTATTAAAATATTTTTTTCTCAAAACTGTTTTTCCCACTCTCTTCTCTGGTGAGGTGGTTAAGCATAAACTTCCTTTATTAACTATCTTCCAATTCCTGCCCCCAAACAAAGGTTATCATGAGTGAATTTTCATATTTGATAAAGGAATAGGCTCACACAGTTATCTTAAATGTTTGTTAAATATAGTCCTTATTTAACCATGCATAACAGCCTTATGAAAAAAAGGAAAACATTACAATAAATGCAATTTCCACATGTTTTGTGTAAGGTCAGGTGTCTTATACAGTTCAAGTTTTGGTAAAATCTTTATACATGCTGATGCTAACTACTGCAACAATTCCATTATTGTAAAAGGTAAAATAACCCGTATGACTTTGACCAGTGACCAAAATGCACTTTAATTTCAGAATAAAGACTGAAATATTAACTAAACCTCGTATTATAAATAGGTATTAATAGCACCTTCTAAGAGAGGCACTGTTTTAAATAGGCACAGAACAAAAAAATAGTACTCTAAAAATACTGTTGGAATTCACTATATTCCATGCCACATAAATTACTGCCTTTTCTTATTATAAAAATATCAATATCCTTAGGTGCCCATCAGTTAAACATAAATCACTAAAAACATTTCTGAAGTTCAGAACACTGCTCAATTCCAAGATAAGACATGCTTTATATTTAAAAATAAATTAGAGATGAATGTGAACCTAAAGCTGAAAAGCATGTATAGTATATATATTCATTTTTAATACTATGTACAGATAATTACTATATACTTTAGATATTGTATTCTTAGCAGTATTTCTACAAAAACAAGTATTATCTTTTCTTAATAAGTCAAAGTCTGAACACCAAAAATTTGTCCTTTTACTTTTCTTTTAAACAAACATATATGTCATTTATGCAGCTTGAGATTTGTAAACTAAATGAATTAGTACAATACCCTAAACTGTCCCTGTATTTTTCACCATGGATCTATTTTGGCAACATGGAGGTATATCTTTCAAACTGTTACAAGTCTTACATGTGAAAAAGACACTGGAGGATTTCTTAAATGAAAGTGACCATTCTATCCTAGTAATGATACAATCAATTGACACCATTTCCTTTAAGACAAAAGTACATATTCAAGGAATAGCTCATAAAAAAATGCTTCATTTTTCACATTATTTCAAAACATTATCAGGAGAATGGCTCTGCACATTAATTTTACTAAGAGTTCACCAACAAAGGAAAATAGTCCCCAAAGATGCATTTATGAGCCTCTGTTTTTCAACATAAAGTGCTAAGAGATGAGGAAGGAGAGCTGGGAATGTCTTGAACTGTATGTTTTGCTGAGACCCCCACACGTGGCTGGTCTGCAGTTCAGCATTCTGATTTTTCTCTTAGGTTCAGATGATCGTCCAAGTGGCTAGTGCTCATCTGGACCATCTGGTGTCTCACCTGTAACAGCTAAAAAGATGATTTCAGCCACTTCTGTTTCAATTCCTCACTATCTGCAGCAAAGCTGTGCACAGACTTGGACTGGTCAGTTTGAAGCTGTGTGGCAGGTCCGCACTCCTCGCATGTCATCCACAATGTAGCCCAAGAGTTGGAATGGTAGCCTGGGCTCTGACGTCCTAAGCAAAACATTGTACAGAGAGAGTTACTTGTGGCCTTGTCCTACAAAACCTTTCTTCCTACCACTGTCCCAAGTGAGTAGTCCCAGTGGCTGTCCACGTGGCCAGTGACAATAGTTGAACAAATCAGTGGATGACAGCTGACACCCAAATCAGCTAGGCCAGACAGATGTCACACCTCCTTGCTGGGAGGACCTCATTCAAAGGCCATGCAGCCCACCATGGCTGCATGGAAAACAATAATAGCCACCTCTCCAGGTGCCAGTCGCTACCCAGAAAGCAGAGATCAGGAGGATCGCAGTTCGAAGCTGGCCAGGGTAAATAGTTTTCAAGACTCTATCTTGAAAAAAAAACCCATCACAAAAAAAAGGGGCTGGTGGAGTGGCTCTGGTGTAGGTCTTGAGTTCAAGCCCCAGTACCGCAAACACACACAAAAAATAATAGCTATCTTATTATTTAAAGTGAGAGGGCATTAATGAGGCTTAATAATACATTTTATTTGGTGGTTCATTCCATCATCAACTTATTTATGGACAGGAAAAGAGTTAAGGAAAAACAGCAAAGAATAAAATACATACCTATCTTGGCATTTTTAGTTTATTTCTAAACTAAAATAATTTAACTAGTCCTTAATGTAGATACAGGGTAAAATACAACAACACACTTAAGTTTTTGTATTTTCAGGTGAATGCATGATTGGTTTATGTACTGTTTTATTCTGAATTTTAAGCATAACACATCTGGTGCTGGCTCTCACTATAAGCTAAACCTGCATATTGGTCATCTCAGGTATGCACACATACAGTTCACAAAAAGTTGTTAGTGAATATTATTAATCCAAGATTGACATAACTTCCCCCTTCCTCTCAAACTGCTTTCTTTTTAGGCACCCGTGCTTTAAGCATAAAAACCGATCAAAGCTTTTCCTAATGTCTCCTGTCATTAGAAAGGCTTCTTTCTACTTTTGCTTTTCCCTCTGCTTCATCATCTTCTCACGTTCCTTCCTAACTCAACTTACCTTTCCTCAACTCCATTACACAAAGATGTGAAGGGGACCAATGACCAATGAGTAAAAAAGCAACTATAAAATGAATCAATCAGCTTAAACAACAAACTTAGTTTTAGTTATCCATTATTTTTCAATTTTAATGAGACACAGTGACACTGACTGAGTTCTTTTGTTTTACAAAGGATCAATGGAAGGGTTCTGCGTTCACTGTCCCTGATGGCACCTGTCACTTCCAGTAGATGTGGTTTAGTTACCTGGGGAGCACCATACATGTACAGCACAAGGGGATCTTGCTTGGGGATCACACACCAAGCTTTCTGCCAAGGTTTTGACTTCTCCATGTACTGAAGAAAGCTGCACACCACGCTGTTTCCAGATACTTCTGCTGATTCTATCTAAAAAACACAACAGAGAAAAAAGAATAAACACAAACACTAGAAGAGATCCCTTCACTTACAGGAGATATTTACATGAATGTCTCCTGGGGTTGTCAAAAAAGAATTTATTTGCAATTACTGTTTTAAAATCTATCATAACATGGAAAATAGTTAAGTTCAACTTTTAACTATTTGTATTATGAAACGTTGATTTTAAACAATAAACATTTACTGAGTGCTCACCTATGTGTGCCCTATCTTTACTTGCTGCACATATTTTTTCACTGGAATCCCACACAGTACTGAAAGTTAGTACTTTCATTATTGCTGAAGGTCAGAGTTTTTAAATAGCTTTCCAAAGAACACACATTTAGGAATTCACATGCTAGAATTTGAGCACCATCATTCTGAATCAAGATTTGAACTTTTAACCATAATGCTTCAAGAATGTAGTAATGTAATAGCAAAAAGGCCAAAACCAACCAGTAATCATCATTCTAGTACTTGAGATAATTAAAAACTTTTTTCATTGTAAGAAATTTTTGAAAAGCATTTACAGTTCTCTGCCTTGCCTCCTAATGTATTAATCACTGACTAAAAGGAAACAGACCCATGTAACTAAATGACCTTTATACACATTTTACTAGTTTGCTTCTCTTCCTATCTCTGAAACCTTTAGGGTAGTGTTTACTCTGTTTTGTTTCCTAGACACACGGACTAAGAGAAGTAAGTGTGCACATGCACATATGTTAAGTGTATACTGGAGACTTACTTTGCACCAACTAACTTTTCTGTAAGAGGTCAGAGAGAAAATATTCTTTGCAGGTCAAGAGGCCAAACCAAGGATGTCATGTGGGTACTTAGATGAAGTAAACAAATTTCCACACATTTTTTATGAAAAATAGAAAATATTATTTAGCAGGGTTTTTTTTTTTGGTAATATGGACCTACTAATAAGAATGGAATTCCTTGGGAGGAAGATAACATTTTCTTCTTAAAGTGCTATCTTGCAAACTGTTTTGTTACCAGCCATAAATGAGCACAGAAAGTTAAAGAGTGAGCATTAAGAAACTTGCACAGCAGTCAGGTGCAGCGGCTCATCCTATAATGCTAGCTATGTGGGAGGTGGAGGATCAGGAAGATTGTGATTCAAGCTAGCTCAGGCATAAAGTTGTTAAGACCCCATCTCAACCAATGGCTGCTTACAGTGGTGCACACCCATCATCCCAACTATGTGAGAAAGCACAAACAAGGAGAATTATGGTCCAGGATGGCCAGGGAATAAAGTGACTCTATTAAAAAAATAACTAAATCAAAAAGGGCTGGGGCATGGCTCAAGTGGTAGAGCACCTGCCTAGCAAGCACAAAGTCCTAGGTTCAACACCACATACCACCAGAAAAATAAAAGGAAAAAAGAGAAAACTTGCCTAGCAATCTTACTTTGAAATGATGCCAACTGTATGACTATGGATTTTCATTGATCTGTGATACATAGTTTGGGAATATAACTAACGTGTAATCACAGGTAGTCTGAGAAGCATTGGGCAAATGACAGCCTGCAAGTCAAGTCAACTGCAGCCTACCACCTATGTTTTGTCTGTCCCATGAGCTAAGAATAGTTTTTACAGATGAACGTTTATAATCAGTTTGATGATAGGGGACACTAACTTTGGACTCTAAGTGAATGTCACCCTCCTTCAAAGAATTCCATTCTTTTTAGTAAATCCATATTATCAAAACCTACATACTAAATATTATGTTTTTAGATTTTTTTTATCCTACCAATGACTAAACAGTTGAAAGGATAAAAACAAATTTCCAAATATATTGCATTAAACACATTGAATTTTGTCACACAAAATTTTGAAGAAATTAATTTCTTCTCTTCCTAAAAGTACCTGGGTAATAGCCTTGATTGGCTTCCCGGTCAGCACAGAACATTTTCTTTGACACTTTTATAGGAAAGTTGACTGCTATTCTTGAGCACATATACTAGTTGGCATAAAATAGTCTTATTTTTAAAACACATTATCTGACTCATTGAATCGGACCCATTTCATCATCGCTGTATTAAAGTCTTGAGGCTGAGGCCTGGGAGCCAATAAAGAATATGTCTTCCCACCTTTTCTGCCGGAGAAAGACCTACCTTGGCCTGCCATACAAGTAACATCTATATCCCAGGAGAACTCAGTATTAGACCTTCAGCTTGTAGGCCTGTATTTTCACCTTAAGTGGATCTTGAAGTTTAAGATAATTTTTCAGTTAATAGAGATGACATTTGTACATTTACTTGTAAGCAGTTATTGATTCATTAGAAATCTGTTTTAGGTGGTATTGGGGTTTGAACTCAGGGCCTCTACCTCTTGAGCCACTTCTCCAGCTCTTTTTTGTGTTGGGTATTTTCAATATCGGGTCTCTGAAACTATTTGCCTAGGCTGGCTTTGAATGGGGGATCCTCCTGATCTCTCCCTCCTGAGTAGCAAGGATTATAGGCATAGTGCCAGCTACATTAGAAATTTTTTTTTTTAAACTAAGTATATGTCTGACTTTGAATACAAAGAATTTTGATCCTATCTCCATGCTACCTTTAACTTATTGCCACAAAGACCTTATTATATAAATTATCTCTTATTTGTCAGTATCTTTGGATGTGAAACCCACTTCAGATACAAGCTACATTAGTGTTTCCAGGCATGGGAGGGGGACTCTGAAACATGAAAGCTATTTCACCAATAATGAAATTATGAACTTACCGTTACTGGTCATTAAATTACCATAATAAAGTGGCTGTTTTAATGCAATAAGTTGAGTTTTTCATGTAATAAAATAGTACACTAATATAAATTTGAAAAATTTTCATGCAGTGGTTTTCAAAGTCAATAATGATGAAATCTAAAGAAAAGCTATCCTATAAAGAAAATATACTATAGTTTGGACATTAGAATTAATACTCTAATATTTGGCTATGGATACCAACCCCAAAACCACTATCCCACCTCTCTTTTTTATTTATTTTTATTATGATATATTTGTTGTTTAGGGGGATCCATTTGACATTTCCAAGTATCCTTACACTGTAAATTGGTTAGATCATTCCCTACCATCTCCTCCCCCACTTAAAGCAATTGCAAGAGGTTTCATTGTTCTATTTAGTATATGTATATGAAACCCATCAACCATATTCCCTCACCTTCATCTCCTCTATTTCCCCCCACTCCACCGACACACAGTACCTGTCTTTCCTTATCATAATCCTGTTACAGTCTTGTTTTTCCTTATTTATTCCAAAGTCAATGTTCAAAGGGGTTTCTTGATGTATCCCCACAGTGAGCACACTTTACTTTGGTCTGTTCAATCCCTTTATCCCACCTTTCTCTAAAAGTCAGCAAGATATTGTTACCTCAATTGTTAAATATGAAGATAAATTAAGAGAACTCTGTTAGTTGTTTAAAAATCTAAAAGATATCCAAGAGAATTCCAAGATGGCGGCTAGAGGTAGGAAGCAGAAAGCGACCCTCCTATAGTGAAATCTTGGAGAGACACTGGAGACACACTTTGCAGGCATAATCACCGAGAAAAGGCATAACTTTGACCCCTCCACATCTCCAGCCAGCGCAGAGAATCTCCACTTCACGTTAAACGGAGAACCGAGGAGGGCCCCAGGGCCGCCAGTGGCCGCGCCATACGGCTTGGGAAGACGCGACCAGCTTACTGTGATTAGTACACTAACACTCCCTGTTTATACCTTTGAAACTCTCTTGTCTGATACCTTGTTCTGCTTTCTCCCTCTTGTCTGTATATTTGTTTTCCCCTTTTCTTTAACTTCTTGCTTTCCATCTCAGCTCACTCTTCCATTCTCAATATTACCATTGTTATTATTACAAGCTAGAAAATACTTAATTGCACATAGTACAGGGACAGTAACAACACCAAAGACATGGGAAGACAGAAAAAACAGGGAAACCAGTTTCCCACAGCAAAAAATTAGTACAGGAACCAGAGGGGAATGAAGAAAACAGATACTCAGATCCAGACTCCAACAAAATGAAGATAAACTATGCCAAAGGACCCAATGAAGCCCACAAGAATAATTTAAAAGAAGACATACTACAAGTACTCAATGAGAATTTTATAGAGATGATACTGGATAGGGTCAACCAAAATGTACAGGAGACACTCAAGAAATTCCAAGACAATAAAAATAGAGAATTTGAAAAAGCAAAAGAAGAAATAAAGGAAACCATAGAAGCACTGTATAAACACCAAAGTGAAAGAGAGAACACAATGAATAAATGGATAAATGAACTCAGGACAAAAATAGACAACAATAAAGAAGAAAACAGCCAGGATATGGAAAACCTCAGAAAAAAGAACGAAACAGAACTGCAAAACAAAACGGAAGGCCAATCCAGCAGAATAGAACAAACAGAAGACAGAATCTCAGAACTTGAAGATGAAATGGTAATTAAAGGAAAAACTGAAGAACTATAATTAAACAACTCAAGACCTGTGAAAAGAAAATGCAAGAACTCACTGACTCCATCAAAAGACCAAACTTGAGAATCATGGGCATCGAAGAAGGAGAAGAGGTGCAAGCGAAGGGAATGCGTAATATATTCAACAAAATAATAACGGAAAATTTCCCAAATCTAGAGAAAGATATTCCCATACAAATGCAAGAGGCCTCCAGGACACCAAACAGACCAGATCAAAATAGAACTACACCACGACATATCATCATTAAAACAACAAGTTCAGAAACTAAGGAAAGAATATTGAAGGCTGTAAGAGAGAAAAAACAAGTAACATACAAAGGTAAACCCATCAAAATCACAGCAGACTTCTCAACAGAAACATTAAAAGCAAGAAGAGCGTGGGGTGAGATCTTCCGGGCACTGAATGAAAATAACTTCAACCCCAGGATACTCTACCCAGCAAAGCTATCATTCAAAATAGATGGAGCAATAAAAGTCTTCCATGATATGTGACCACAAAGCCACCATTACAAAAGATTCTGCAAGGGATCCTGCACACAGAAAGTGACACCCAACTTAACCATGAAAAGGCAGGCAGCACCAAACCACAGGATAAGAAAAAGCAAGACAGTAGAGAGTAACATCAAGTTAGGTACACACAATCAAACCTTCAAACAACTAAGATAACTAAATGGCAGGAATCACCACATACCTATCAGTACTAACACTTAATGTTAATGGACTTAATTCACCCATCAAAAGACACCGTTTGACAAAATGGATTAAAAAGAAGATCCAACAATTTGTTGCTTACAGGAGACTCATCTCACCGACAGAAATAAGCATATGCTTAGGATGAAAGGCTGGAAGAAGATTTACCAAGCCAATGGCCCCCGAAAACAGCAGGAGTAGCAATACTTATCTCTGACAAAGTAGACTTCAAACCTACATTGATCAAACGAGATAAAGAAGGACATTCCATACTAATAAAAGGGGAAATAGACCAAAAGGAAATAATAATCATCAATCTGTACGCACCCAATGTCAACGCACCCAATTTCATCAAACATACCCTGAAAGACCTAAAAGCATATATAAACCCAACACAGTGGTTGTGGGAGACTTTAACACTCCATTATCATCAATAGATAGGTCATCCAAACAAAAACTCAATAAAGAAATCCAAGATCTAAAATATGCAATAGATCAAGTGGACCTAGTAGATGTCTACAGAACATTTCATCCAACCTCTACACAATATACATTCTTCTCAGCAGCCCATGGAACCTTCTCCAAAATAGATCATATCCTAGGGCACAAAGCAAGCCTCAGCAAATATAAGAAAATAGAAATAATACCATGCATACTATCTGACCACAATGCAGTAAAAGTAGAACTCAACAACAAAAGTAAAGACAAAAAACATGCAAACAGCTGGAAACTAAATAACTCATTACTTAATGAAGAATGGATCATCGATGCAATAAAAGAGGAAATTAAAAAGTTCCTGAAGTCAATGAAAATGAAAACACAACCTACCGGAACCTATGGGACACAGCTAAGGCAGTCTGAGAGGAAAGTTTATAGCCATGAGTGCATATATTAAAAAGATTGAAAGATCCCAAATCAATGACCTAATGATACATCTCAAACTCCTAGAAAAACAAGAACAAGCAAATCCCAAAACAAATAGAAGGAGAGAAATAATAAAAATAAGAGCTGAAATCAACGAAATAGAAACCAAAAAAACCATACAAAGAATTAATGAAACAAAAAGTTGGTTCTTTGAAAAAATAAACAAGATCGATAGACCCTGGCAAACCTGACTAAAATGAGGAGAGAAAAAACCCAAATTAGTAGAATCAGGAATGCAAAAGGGGAGATAACAACAAACACCATGGAAGTCCAGGAAATCATCAGAGACTACTTTGAGAACCTATATTCAAATAAATTTGAAAATCTTAAAGAAATGGACAGATTTCTAGATACATATGATCATCCAAAACTGAACCAAGAGGAAATTAATCACCTGAATAGACTATAACACAAAATGAAATTGAAGCAGCAATCAAGAGTCTCCCCAAAAAGAAAAGTCCAGGACCTGATGGATTCTCTGCTGAATTCTATCAGACCTTTAAAGAAGAACTGATACCAACCCTCCTTAAACTGTTCCATGAAATAGAAAGGGAAGGAAAACTGCCAAACACATTTTATGAAGCCAGTATTACACTTATCCCAAAACCAGGCAAAGACACCTCCAAAAAGGAGAACTATAGGCCAATCTCCTTAATGAACATTGATGCAAAAATCCTCAACAAAATAATGGCAAACCGAATTCAGCAACACATCAAAAAGATTATTCACCACGACCAAGTAGGCTTCATCCCAGGGATGCAGGGGTGGTTCAACATACGAAAATCAATAAACGTAATAAACCACATTAACAGAAGCAAAGACAAAAACCACTTGATCATCTCAATAGATGCAGAAAAAGCCTTTGATAAGATCCAACATCATTTCATGATAAAAGCTCTAAGAAAACTAGGAATAGAAGGAAAGTTCCTCAACATTATAAAAGCTATATATGACAAACCTACAGCCAGCATTATACTTAACGGAGAAAAATGAAACCATTCCCTCTAAAATCAGGAACCAGACAAGGATGCCCACTATCTCCACTCCTATTCAACATAGTACTGGAATTCCTAGCCAGAGCAATTAGGCAAGAAGAAGGAATAAAAGGAATACAAATAGGTAAAGAAACTGTCAAAATATCCCTATTTGCAGACGACATGATCCTATACCTTAAAGACCCAAAAAACTCTACTCAGAAGCTTCTAGACATCATCAATAGCTATAGCAAGGTAGCAGGATATAAAATCAACATAGAAAAATCATTAGCATTTCTATACACTAACAATGAGCAAACTGAAAAAGAATGTATGAAAACAATTCCATTTACAATAGCCTCAAAAAAAATCAAATACCTAGGTGTAAACCTAACAAAAGATGTGAAAGACCTCTACAAGGAAAACTATACACTTCTGAAGAAAGAGATTGAGGAAGACTATAGAAAGTGGAGAGATCTCCCATGCTCATGGATTGGTAGAATCAACATAGTAAAAATGTCGATACTCCCAAAAGTAATCTACATGTTTAATGCAATTCCCATCAAAATTCCAATGACATTCATTAAAGAGATTGAAAAATCTACTGTGAAATTTATATGGAAACACAAGAGGCCACGAATAGCCAAGGCAATACTCAGTCAAAAGAACAATGCAGGAGGTATCACAATACCTGACTTCAAACTATATTACAAAGCAATAACAATAAAAACAGCATGGTACTGGCACAAAAACAGACATGAAGACCAGTGGAACAGAATAGAGGACCAGATATGAAGCCACACAACTATAGCAACTTATCTTTGACAAAGGAGCTAAAAATATACGATGGAGAAATAGCAGCCTCTTCAACAAAAACTGCTGGGAAAACTGGTTAGCAGTCTGCAAAAAACTGAAACTAGATCCATGTATATCACCCTATACCAAGATTAACTCAAAATGGATCAAGGATCTTAATATCAGACCCCAAACTCTAAGTTGATACAAGAAAGAGTAGGAAATACTCTGGAGTTAGTAGGTATAGGTAAGAACTTTCTCAATGAAACCCCAGCAGCACAGCAACTAAGAGATAGCATAGATAAATGGGACCTCATAAAACTAAAAAGCTTCTGTTCATCAAAAGAAATGGTCTCTAAACTGAAGAGAACACCCACAGAGTGGGAGAAAATATTTGCCAATATACATCAGACAAAGGACTGATAACCAGAATATACAGGGAACTTAAAAAACTAAATTCTCCCAAAACTAATGAACCAATAAAGAAATGGGCAGTGAACTAAACAGAACTTTCTCAAAAGAAGAAATTCAAATGGCCAGAAAACACATGAAAAAATGCTCACCATCTCTAGCAATAAAGGAAATGCAAATTAAAACCACACTAAGATTCCACCTCACCCCTGTTAGAGTAGCCATCATCAGCAACACCACCAACAACAGGTGTTGGCGAGGATGCGGGGAAAAAGGAACCCTCTTACACTGTTGGTGGGAATGTAGACTAGTACAACCACTCTGGAAAAAAATTTGGAGGCTACTTAAAAAGCTGACATCATCTACCATTTGATCCAGCAATACCACTCTTGGGGATATACCCAAAAGACTGTTACTCCAGAGGCACCTGCACATCCATGTTTATTGCGGCACTATTCACAATAGCCAAGTTATGGAAACAGCCAAGACGCCCCAGCACTGATGAATGGATTAAGAAAATGTGGTATCTATACACAATGGAATTTTATGCAGCCATGAAGAAGAACGAAATGTTATCATTCGCTGGTAAATGGATGGAATTGGAGAACATCATTCTGAGTGAGGTTAGCCTGGCCCAAATGACCAAAAATCGTATGTTCTCCCTCATATGTGGACATTAGATCAAGGGCAAACACAACAAGGGGATTGGACTATGAGCACATTATAAAAGCCAGAGCACACAAGGGAGGGGTGAGGATAGGTAAGACACCTAAAAAACTAGCTAGCATTTGTTGCCCTTAACGCAGAGAAACTAAAGCAGATACCTTAAAAGCAACTGAGGCCAATAGGAAAAGGGGACCAGGTACTAGAGAAAAGGTTAGATCAAAAAGAATTAACCTAGAAGGTAACACACCACAGGAAATCAATGTGAGTCAATGCCCTGTATAGCTATCCTTATCTCAACCAGCAAAACCCCTTGTTCCTTCCTATTATTGCTTATACTCTCTCTACAACAAAATTAGAGATAAGGGCAAAATAGTTTCTGCTGGGTATTGGTGGGGGGAGCGGGAGGGGGTGGGGTGGGTGGTAAGGGAGGGGGTGGGGGCAGGGGGGAGAAATGAACCAAGCCTTGTATGCACATATGAATAATAAAAGAAAAATGAAAAAAAAAAAAGATATCCAATATTTAATATTTCATACCTCTAAAATTCCTTTCCTTTTCTTTTCTTCACTGTCTGTGAATCCACTTATTATTTGATAACAGTCTTTACAAACTTTGTTCAATTTTCCACCATCATACTCAAGTTGAGCTTTGTAGTCAGAACACTTCCAACAAACCACCTTGAATTGAAAAAACAAGGGTAATAAAGAGTGAATAATCATATTTAAACGACAATAAGGTTTAAGCAATTATCAATTACAATTAAAAATGAATGAGAAAAAGTTAAGTATTAAAGGCAGATTTTTATTAGACTGAGAGCATGCCAAAAAACATTAGGAGTATATATGAAGGTATTGTAACACTGTTTTTGACGGGCTCTGCCCATTCTTCTCTTCCTCTCCATTATAAAACACAAAATATTCTGAAAAGCTTGGTCCAGACCCTTAGTCTTTATACTTCTGAATCATTTATCAGTATCTGCTTAAACCTAACTCCTGATATTCCTTGACCTGGGTGCTTTCATTGGCCTGCCCCACTCCATTCCATCCTGTCTATTATAGGAAATGGCACAGTGATGGCAAGAAGGAAACACAGGAGTCATTCCCAACACCCACCTACCTCCTTCACTCCATAGATGTACACTATTAAGTTTTGCCGATTTTACCTCCTATATATTTCTTCAATCTGTCTGTTTTTCTAGATCTTCCTTATAACCACTGGAGTCTAAGCTAGCGGCACCCTTGTTCAGACTTTTTATAGCTGCTTAACTGGTCCTTACAGCATCCTTACTGTCTTCTAAGCTTCTACTCTTATACCCTACAACAAACTACTTTCTAAACAGTGGCCAGATGCTCTCTTAAAATGTGAATCTGATATGTTCCTCTCTCTTGAAAATCCTTCAATCTTTGCTTCCTTTCTTCTTGTTAGTCATGGCCTACAAAGTTCTGTGTAACTGGCCTCTCTTTGTTCCCTAAGTCTTCAGTCCCCAAAGTGCCACCATTGCCTTCTCTCCTCTTCTGCTTCACTGAGTTAATAGCTGCTCATCTTTTGGATGTTGACTTAAATTTCACATCCTTAAGGAAGACTCCTCCATCTTTCAGAATAGAACATGACTCTTAGCACTCTGCTACTAAAATTCCCTACATTTTTGTTCTTAGCATGGATTACAGATTTTAATTACATACTTGTATAATTACTTGATTGTCTCCTTTCATGAAAAATGGCCAAGGGCTAAGGGTATAGTAGGGCAAGTGCTTAGCATGCATGAAGACTTGTGTTCAATTCCTAGCTCCCATTCTCCCTCCCCCCAAAAAGAAGCCTGGTTTTCTCATAATTGCAATGTAAGTACTTTGGGGAACAAGTAGACATCCTAATAATCTACCTGCAAACATTTTTGATGGTTCACCAAAGGCAAGTATGTCAATACCAAAAGTCATCTCAAGCAAATTTAATGACAGATTTTAAATGTCTTACTCTGAGAAAGATGCTTGCTATCAATTTAATTTTGATTACAAAACTGTCTCCCTGAGTCTTTACAAAAGAGGAAGAATAAATTTGCAGTGTAAATGAAAATAAGCTACAAGAATTAACAATGTTAATTATTGCAACTAGGCATATGAATAACAAATGATTAGGTCATGACACCATAATGACTACAATTACCATACTAGTATTATGTGTCTACACATTCTTCTTTTTTTCTGGGGGAATGAGGGGGGGGACTGGGGTTTGAACTCAGGGCTTCACGCTGTGCTTTACTACTTGAGCCAGACCTCCAGCTTTACTCATCATTCTTAAGGAAGGATGTAATTCTCAACTTTCTTACACGCCCCTCCAAAGACTGCTATTACCTCTCTGTAGCTTCACATAGTGCTTTGTTCCTCTCCACTCTTTTCATAAGAAACTCAGTTCAATGTGACCAAACCATGCTCAAATTATGTTTATGTATAATATCATTACACCTAGATTATTAAATTACAATCAGAAACACATTTTTGATAAGAACCTTAAAATTTTGTAAATAACCAAGGAACATGAAGAAACTCAGAAAAAATAAGTAAAATTCATAAAATGAAATAGCCATTATTAAACATGTTTTGATTTGATTCCATTCTTGTGGCAGACTAGATACTCAACTGTTAAGTCTTTTGCTATAATACAACTAGACCCTATACACAAATATAATTTCAATGCTTCACTTTTTTACATTAAAGATAATTCTACAAAGCACAAGAAACAAAGCCCAATGAATAAACAAAAGAAAAAAAGGAGCTGAAAGTGTAATGCTAAGTAAATAGAGCAAACTCAAAGTTTATATTTAGAGAAAGTCCTGAGGCCTCAAGGACACAGGAGATGTGAACCTAAGATTCAGTCATAATGCTAAAACATTTGAAAGGAGGATAATGAAGTATCAGTCAAATACAAGCTCCCATTGGAAGAGATGAAATACACTAGAAACAAGCCACTGTGAACTAGAATTAGTAGAAACAACCACCAACAGACTTTTATTTATCAAAGTTTCTTCAGATATGGGTGTTGCTAGATACAAATTCTAAAATTTTATAGGAAATATTTGAAAAAATAGAGTGGCAAACAACAAGAACTACCAAAAAGGACAGATAGGGCTGGGAGCATGGCTCAAGTGGTAGCCATCAAAACAAAACAAAAAGGAAAGGTACATTTAGAAGGGAAAAAAAAATATCCAAAGAATGAATAAAAGAGCAGATTAGCCACAACTGAGAATGAACAAACTAGTAGAGATTAATAAAATACATTTTAATGGCACATGATCACTACTTCAGTCACCCATAACCTTAATGTTGAGAGCAATTCTTAGCTACTCCTTGTCTTTCTCAATTCCACAACCAATTCCCATTTATAGTTAGTCAAATCTAAGCATCTTATCATGGGATATCTAGCTCTCAACTACCTGGCCTCTACCAACCTTTCTAGCCCAGCTCTTGCTAGTTCCAACCTTGCAGTGTTTACCCTAATACCAGGCAGTTTGTATCTGCCAACATATCATGGGCAACCTCAACAAGCTTGCTGCCATCTTGTCGGCTGCCATGTCACAAAGAGAAACACATGGAGCCATGGGTTGGTTGCCCATCCTTACCTCAGAGACCAGCAGCATTAATTCCATTGTGCCTCAGTTTCCAGGAGAAGGCCCAGTTTCTCTAGTTATTTTCTCATCCTCACTCCTGCACATAATGTATCTCCCATTTCCCCTTTCTCCCTCAAAACATTTCCTTTGGGACTTCTGGAACTCTCCTTCTAGGATCAAACTCTATTCCCAAGTGGAGACTTTTTTCTCTCACCTCATGTTCTATCCCTTCTGAGAGCCTCAGGGCTGAAAGGTGGGATTTGTATCCTTGGTTCTTGCTTTCAAACACCCATAGCACCTTTGAGACCCATCACTGGATCTACCCACCTGCTCTACTGAGCTACTATCTCTTTCCAATCTACCCCACCCTCATTCACTCAGGAATTCACAGCTAATGGATCATAGTCCACCACTCTACTACAATGCCTAGTGACCTCAGCATTCTCAGGTCCCATCTACCTCAACTATCTGTTTTCATGGTTATCCATTAGACTGTGTCACCACCAGAGACTGACCCACACCTGGCAAGCCAACTTCAAACATCCCATTCTTTCATGTTTCTAACTCCTCATATTTCTCATTACTTGTCCGCAGCTTTCTACTACCATGCAGCTCTGAAATGACAGAAGTCCTGCTGTCCACCGGCCCCACCACTTTCTATTAACTGCTAGCCCACCCTCCCAGCTCTCTGTTTCTATCATCTAGTCCAAACTTCCCTTTCTCAGTATTAACTCTCTGATACAGATGCCTCCAACTCTCTCCCCAAAGTTTTTCTCATTATTCTTACTCTGGATGAAGCCTGCCATCTACTTCTCTGACTTTTAGAGAAAAAGCATTGCCATTGGATTTTAAGTGTCCCTTAAAATCTGTAATTGGAGACTTCTAAGAGGCATCCAGTTTACCTGTGTTTCTTTGGTAGACTTGCTTTTCTCTGTCCAAATAAAGCTATTTTATACTTAGTCCTCTTTCATGAATCTCCCTATTTCCTCCTTTCTTCCAATTTCACTTTCAGCTGACTCTGCCTTATTCTTTAATGAAAATATAATAGTGAACTTAAGCTACCTCATTTCTCACCATCAAAAATAACAACAAACTAGTGGCAAAACCCTGCTCAGCCCATCTATCTCCTTTTGCACCCATCTTTTCCCCTCTGTTATAATGGAAGACATTCTCTTCTCCCCACCAAAAGCCAGAACTTGCACCTGTACCATGGCTTCCAGCTCTTCTTGCTTTCTCAAGATGTCAACTCCTTTGGTCGTTATCTCTCTAACCACTTCTATGCCACACTTCCCCACATGACTTGTGGCAGTCTCATGGAAGGATAAGCTCTGCTCCAGCAGGGCCTTTAGCACAGACTCTCATAGTCAGTCTCCCTCTCTCTGATAAGCTCATTCTCATCTTCAGGCAACCATGTAAATACCAACCCCTTACACAGGTCTTCTTTCTTCTAATTAAAATTGATTCCAAAGCTTCTTCCATTGCTACTACTCTTCATTTTACTTTTCCTGATTACTTTCTTATTCGATTCAAAGTAATTTGTAATTCTTATCTATTTTCTTCATTACAGTGTAAGTACCATAAAGCCAGGGATAATTTTATTTATCTTTTCTTTTTCTCCCTGGGCCAGCACAATGCTTTGCACACAACTGGCACCAAAATAGGTTTACTGATCAAGTGATTAATACATTTTTTGCCTTTTTCAAGTTGGTAATTTTATATCACTTACATAATTACTAGCAACCTTATTGACCAGGAAATCTCACTTACGTGTCCACATGCTCGACAATGATGCCTTCTCCGTGTCAATGCATTGAAAGATTCTTTGCATTTCATACACATTGTCACTTCATTATCTCGGATCCATCTTGGGGCTCTTTTTCCTAGTTCAGCAGTCTAAAAAGGAAAGTAAGATTTAATTTTAATAGAAAAAATTGTAATTCCCTTTTATTACTTTTTTAGGTGCTTCTAACAGCACTGTTCAAACCATGTAGTGAAACTCAAAATCTAGGAAAAGAAATAAAAATCTCAAAGAGATCTAAGGAGTATGAAGAGGTACTTTCTATTTTACTTTGTAACCATTTAAGAAGGGATGAGATTCTGTCTAAACAGCCATTTCTGGGATTGCAAAGGGAAAAGGCTGGCTAATAAAATGATTGGACAGATGTTTTGCAAACAACAAAGAGGTAAGAGCTTAGAGTTAAGAACTTAATTCAACTTACAGAAACCTCAGAATGAATGTCATTATCCTTTGCAATTGCATTTCTGAAGGTTTCATGCCTTTGATGAAAAGCATCAATAGTCTCTTGAAGGGCCTAAAATATAAATGAAATTCAAAGCACACATTAGAGTATCACATGCAAATTAAGGAAAATACTTTACTAAATGTCTATGATGGGAATCATCTTTAAAACTGAATGAAGTTCTGATGACTATATTAAACAAACAATAATATGTGTATGTTTGTGTACTAACAGAGAGGTACCAAAAATGAAAACAGAAGTCGGGCTTACCTTGATCCATTCTTCTTTGTCTTGCTCAGAACTAAAACAAAACAAATTAAAGTGAATGCAGAGAACATTAATGAATTACACCTGGTGAATAAAACTATGCTTTAATGTTGTTCCAACTTCCTAGAAAAATCAGGAAGGCCCTGGAAGGAATTACAATAAATGTTAAACAGACTCTGGCAACTGAACACATAAATTCTTCTGAAAACAAAGTATCAAACTACTACCATTGGTACCCACAAATTTGCATGGGGAGAGTGATATTTAGCTTACTGAGCACAGAACAGTGAATCTTCCACTTTTCCAAAATACATGAAAGCTAGTAAAGGCTACTCCTCACAGCCCATCTCAGAAAAGATTACAATTGTTCTTATAATCTTACAACTATATTCAAAAGACCATAGGAAGCTATTTAACATTTCCTTTGATAAACAATTTTAATTTCCCCTCCCTCTCTTTTTGCTTTTTGGCAGTACTGAGATTTCATTTCAGGCCCTTGTGCTTGGTAAGCAAGCATGCTACCACTTGAGCCACCCCCATATCCAGTCCTTTTGGCTTTTAGGTTGTTTTTCAGATAGGATCTTGCTTTTTGCATTGGCTGGCCTGGGACTATGATCCTCCTGCCTATGCCTCCTGAGTAACTGGGATGACAGGCATGCACCACCATGCCAATCTTTTGAGATGGGATCTCACTAACTTTTTGGCTGAGCTGTCCTAGAGGCCTGATCCTCCTTATCTCCACCTCCAGAGTAGCTCAGATTACAAATGTGAACCACTTTACCTGGCTTTTTATTTCTTCTCTTTTGCAGGCAGCTTACATAGCTGATTGTAGTCATATAATGTATTTGAAGAATCTCCTTTAGTGGACTCTAAATTGACTACGACCTCTAAACTTAGGAACTTTGAAGAACTCTAGGCCAAATGCCACATGCCTCATTCCAACAGGTACAAAACATGCATGAGACTAGCCAGGGTTTGTTCCTGTGACAGACACCATCTGTCTTTCCAGTGTTTATTTTTATTGAGCACCATGATGTGCCAGGAATGCTGGTGGAACATAAAATCTTGTCACATGGAAATTCTGCTTATTACCACCTTAGGGGTCTCAATCTTGCCCCTAAAAAACAAAAAAACTCCCTGCTGCTTTTGCAGCACTGCTCCACTGCTGCTTTTGCAGCTCTGGAGGCTCAGTTATTTGGAAGCTGCCTTTTAAATACAGACAAAGAAACTTGACAAGACTTCAGTGCCTTTTGCCTTAGTTTTCTTTTTTCTTTAAGTCATGGAAGGTTTTTTCACTCTTATTTAACTTACTATTACTAGATTTTAAATTGCCATTTACAAATAGAAAATCACCGTCTAAACACTATTACATGAAGCAATATTTTATTATTTTTCTCTTTTTTCTCATTTTTAAATGGTACATGAAAAGATAAAATTTGCACATATTAATGGGGTACCATGTAATGTTTTGATACTACATGTGTGTATACACACACACACACACAGACGCTCGGCAATGTGGGGATTGAACCTAGGCCCTTGAACACGTTTGGCAAGGACTCTACCACTGAGATACAACCCCAGCCCTTGTTTCTGTGAAATAGGGTATCAATATGTAGATCAGACTGGCCTCAACTGAGATCTTCCTACGTCTACCTCTCAAGCGTTGGGATTACAAGGGCGCACCATCCCACACAGCTTATGCTATATGTTTTTGAACAGAGAAGAGGAAGCACAAATTTAAGAGGTCAGACTTGATGTTGACTCATACCTTAGCAAGAAAAAGGGACCCATTTTTTTCCCCCTAGTTTGGCTTCCGAAGCAAATTCTCTAAACACCTCCAAATATACACTCAATTTTTGTGTAATCCTGATGCTCTGACTTTCTTGAAACTTCAATATTTATCTCCATTTTTGAGAGCCACTATAGATCAGATGGAAAGTAATTACTTAATTCAGATTTTCAGTATCACTATATAATCATAAACATAACTAGCAATGAGATTAGGGAATAAGAAGTTTAAGGAAGGAAGCACAATCATGTTTCTAATGCTCACTGGAATGTTCTCATTAAGAAACGCCTTGCTAATGAAGGGCTGAAGTCTCCATTCAGGCAAATGAAGAGATCTTAGAAACAACTTAGAAATATCTCTCTGACTGTTACAAAAACAGCTCCTGGGTTTGCATACTTGGAAGTGTGCTCAGATTTCAGAGCCGGCAACACCGTCATTCTTCTACAATGACTTCTATGATGACCACAGCTATTGATAAGTGCTCCCTGTTGCCAGCACCAGTACCTCAGTGAGTCACACTGACTCACATCAGAGTCCTCAGCACAGCACCAGGCATCCTTCCCTTGGCTTCTGAGTGGCCAGGACCCAAATACCACCATGAGGTAGGATAACCATGACATTCAAAAGCAAGTCCTCCATCTCTTAAACTCCAGTTTGAAATGCTACCCACTATCTTCAGAGTAGTCCCCTGACTGCTTCCTAGGTAAGGTAATGGGGAGTTCAATATATATTCTTTGTGGGAAATCAAAGAACTGGCTGTTTATTAAAACTTTCCCATTTTGTCATACCTTTCATAACTGTAATCTCACCAACTCACAGATTCCCTAGGTCTGGATTCCTGGTAAAATGATTTGTTCTTCTCTAGTCTCTCTCTCTCTTTTTGATTATTAAAGAAAATTTATCAGAAATGTTAGTTTAGTATTTGGTTTTTAACCAACATTTTTTGACAGTACTGGGGTTTGAACTCACAACCTCATGCTTGCTAGGTAGGTGCTCTACCACTTAAGCCACTTTGTCAGCCCTAAGCCCTTGACTAAGTACAAATAATCCAGGATAAATTCATCTGAGCAATCATGTCTACATGCTATTGTGCAAAGGAATGGGAGCACTCTCTGCTTCTCCATGGGTTCTTGGGTGCTGACATTGTTAGCACTGGGATTAGTACTTTACACGCAGATCTGTAGCTGCAGGAGGGTCCACACTTTTACCATGTTAGCCCTTTGTAGGCTAGATGGATGACTGTCTTCTAGAGCAGATTATTTCTAAACCTAACAACACTTGATCTTCCAGTGGTCCATGCATGAAGGTAGCTAGTTGTGACCTATAGTGGTCACACCCTTACATTCACCATATTTATGCCAAGGAACATTAGCCCAGATTGTCAACCCTTCCTCTTCCACTCACTAAGGCATACAAGAAGAACCATATTCCAGAAATCCTGACTGTCAAAGGCCACCCGAGCCCCAAGTACCCTTCATGTATCCTACAGCTGTGGCAAGAGAATCATATCTTGATCACACTCTGAACATTTCTCTTTCAAGGTGCTCCTTAGTCCGAAGAATGCAGAGTCTCTGAAGGATTCACAGTTTAGTATGGAATAAGCATCAAATAAATATTTGTGGACCAAAAAGGAGGAATGGAAGGAGGAAAAATTAGGAACAAATGTTTTCCTCCAAGTCTCAATATTCTAACTGGATTGCAGCACCCTCAACCTGTGAGTGTCTTGCCATTCTTAAGAGCTGAAGGACTGAATGCTTACTGTTTGCATGGCACTGGGGAGGAATCAGAGGAAGACATGGTGTCTGTTCATCAAGAACTCCCAGTTCTCCATTTATATTCAACCAGATTGCCAGAGATCTGGGCCATTCATGGAAAAAAAACCTCTCAGAACATTCTGACCTACAATTTATTCTGATGTTTTCCAGAAAGCTGTGGTAGGAAGGGTTTTTCTCACCTGGCCTGCAGTTCCAGTGTTCGCTCTTTCCCAGATACCTGGAAAGTATGTGGGTATTCTTCATTTTGAGTCTCCACAATTTTCATCCCTTCAATGCCAACCCTGGTCCGAACTGTAAATTTTGAGCCCACCAAGCTGAATCTGGGCACACAGTATAGCAACATGTTGTTGAACTGCAAGGAGGCAGAACACATATCAATAAACAGGAAAATAAAGGAAAGGAAAACTGGCCAGTATTGATAGAAGCCCTGGACAGAAATTCCACACAATTTTTTTGGGAAAATATGTTGCTTTGTTTTTTTGAGACAGGGTCTCACCATGCAGCCCAGGCTGGCCTCAAACTCATGATCCTCTTGCCTCAGCCTCTAGGGTATTGGAACTGTAAGCATGCACCACACCATGCCTGGCTCCTTTGTGTGTGTGTGTGTGTGTGTGTGTGTGTGTGTGTGTGTGTGTGTGAAGTGTGGTGCTGGACTCAGGGCCTTGTACATACTAAGCAAGCACTATACTACTGAACTATATCCCAGCCCCAAACTGAAGTTCTTTGAAAGTTGAAGCCCTCAATACACCAGAATTTCTGGTGTATTATTGTGCCTTAGAGGACAAATCTACAATAGCTGTTAGAAGAAAAGACAAATTACTATCATTTATTGTTATTATTATTATTATTGGTGGGACTGGGGTTTGAACTCAGGGCTTCATGCTTGCAAAGCAGGTGCTCTGCTGCTTGAGCCACTTCCAGCCCATTTTGCTCTAGTTGTTTTGGAGATGGAGTCTCATGAACTATTTGCCTTGGCTGGCTTTGAACCTCAATCCTTCTGATCTCAGCCTCCAAAGTAGTTAGGATTACAGGTATGAGCCATGGGCACCTGGCTGAAAAGCAATGAAATTTTTTTTTTTTAAAAAACAGCCAATTCATTAATTCAAATTTCACTAGTTCAAGTTAGGTTGGCACACTAAACCTAATAAAAAAAGTAAGACACATGGCTAAGATCCATATTTTATACTTGTTCGCAATATTCTTCAGCAGTATAGTATTCTGAGTCCTTGAATCTTAAGAATTACCATATGAATTAACAGAAAAGCATCAATTTTATCAAGGAGTCATTACATCTTTACAATATGCATTTTTAAAACAAAGTACTTTATTTTGAAACTAAATCAAATTATGGACAGTGCCTCATTTCTAGTCAGCAGTTAATAGCTCTTTGCTATCCAGGACTACAAAATTTGTCAAAAGTCTGATAGAGTACAAATGCCTTGTCATTGACTGTGAAAACACTGCTTTCACTTTTAATATGTTAAAACATGTAAAGTTTTAACTCTTAAATATTTAGGTTCATCAGTGGGCAGATTCCTGGGAGTGGGTCCATACTTCTTACTTCATATTTATTGTTTTTTAAGTTGTTTCTACATTTTTCTAAGATAAGAGTAATTAGGTACTACAGAAATCATCTTTAAGATTTACTTTTTCAATAGCATGTGCTATTGAAATACCAACATGATTTTTATTTCATTTGTTTCATCAAGATTTCTCAATTTATTTTTCAAGTTTTCTCTAAAATATGACTCTATATGGAGTTTCAGTTGAGTACTCTGAGGCCAGACCATAAACATTCAGGCTCCCACTCTACCCAATGGGTGGTTAACTCCCACAAAAAAGTTACAGGTGCCGAGACGATTAAATGAGGCAACAAATTAGAAGAGTTCAGAACAGTGCTTTTACATACAAAGTGCTTCAATTCTAGATCTTTCCTGCTAGGTTCTCTGCTCGGCTCTATGCTATTGCCAAAGATAAGAAATGCCAGTGGGTATTTAAAACATCCCAACATATTTATGTGACTTGGTCTACTATACTCATTCTGAAAACACATTTCTCATCAGTTGTTTCTCCCTCAACGTTTTGTAACTTCCTGTAACCACTGTCATAGATTTCAGTTCCACAATGCAGAATGTAGAAATAAAAGAGCACTAAACACATTCTAGGTAAACACTAGTATTTACATTTCTGGACAAGGACCTATGCCTCTCATTATGTCCACTATGCTGAATACAGCAATCACTGTAGTGGCCTCACTGTAGTGCACAGAATTTAGAGACTCAATAAAACTCTCAAGTTCTCAGCACCATCCACATCATAGAGTGACCAGGGTAGGAACTCATTTCCTTACTTTTGAAGTTAATGTTTCTTTCCTTCTTCATCAAGTCCTCCTCAGGAGGAGACTTGGGCAGGGCTGTGCATGTTGGATGGGCTATAGAGCTACACCAAAGGGACAGAACTCATGATTTCAAGTCATCAGCAATAACCAAACTGTTTCTACAAGCTGAGTGACAAGTACAATATTGTAGCATAAAACTTCTGAGTTATCCATCACTTGTGCTTAAGTTTGCTTTACAAAGCCTTGTTATTTTAGATATGTAAGTCTATGAATATGAAAGTTCTCAGTACTTGCCTTTCATAGCTATTCTCATGTAAGAGGACATGACTGTCTTTTCCTTTCATGCTTTCACTATTATGTCCCCCTATGTAGAAGCCTCAGTGTCCCAAGTGGGACTTTATTTTCCAAGTTGTCAATAATTACATATTAAAGAATTCTAATTACAATCTAACGAAAGCCAGTAAAAATCTTATTTATCTTCTTCACAGAGGTGGAGATGAGCACTTTTACGGGATGCAATAGTAAGATGGCGCGTATGTAAAGAGGTCCTGCTCCTTAGGTGAACCTTACTCCTATGTCAAAAGCCACCATCACATCACCTTCCCCAAGAGAAGGCTTCTCTCTGGGTTTCCCCTGGTACTGAAAGAAGAAGTTATAGCAACTACAACCCCAAGTATATGGACTTTCTCTTGCATTGTAGGAGATTCCCTTTCCTCCACACCCACTGCTCACAAGTGGTGATCAGCAAAGCAATCTCAGACTGGTGAAACAATCGCTACATGTCCTAGGTTGTGACAAAATCTAGTAGCAAGTCTCAATCTTACAAACAAAAAAAAGGTAATGTATTGTTACAGGATATTTACAGTACTTAGTCTGTGAATGTGTTCAAAGTTTAAATAAGGGGAAAAAAATCCAAATCTATCAAGTTACAAGGAAATAAAGAATAGAACAAGTCCAAAAGGCCAAGAAAAAAACTATTGGGTCACTCTGAGATAATTTAGTGATTTTTCTTTTTTCAAACCTTTAGATGCCAAATACAGTGATTTAGTTTAAAAAAAGTACCCTATATTAGCGTAAAAAAAGTAAAAAAGTACAGTGTGAAGTCAAGCAAGTATGCAAACATATGAGATCATTTGAATGTGAAATCAGATGCTAAATAGAATTTGGCTTTTCAGCCAGATGTAATATGCCCAGAGTAGGAAACAGAAAACTAGTTCTCATTTTTTCTTTCTACAGAGCAAAGAAATAAATAGGGTACCTCTGTAGTTTCTGCACATAAAAGAACAAGATGCTCCATTGGAATAAACATGACAAGTATGGTCTAAAGAGAGGGTGGGTTAAATGAATGAACACTATACTGTCAATGTTTCCAAGATGGTCTTCAGAATATAAATGAGTGTGGCTTTTCTGAAACTCTTCCCACATGACTCCATTTTCCTGGGCAGCGATGGTGTGCTATGTTTGGTAGCTGATAATAACAAGAACAAGATGGTTTTTTCCTCAAAGTCACTGTCTTATTCCCCCACCAAGACTCTTTGTATTTCTCTTCCAAACAGCAGCTTAGTTTGGCTCTATATCAAGATACTAAAACTATTCAAAACAATTCTCAAGGCAATTGGTAAGACACAGAACTAAATATTTAAGAACAGAGACTACAGTGCTAATGAGTAAGAAGAGAGGACAATGACCCAGGCACCTCTAGCATAAGACAGGGGCAGACATTGATTCCCGGCCATTTTGCCCACAATGGTTATTGAATGTGCATTTTTATTCTGTACTTATGATGCTTTGATATCTTCAAGCCTTGTCGACACTAAAGGGACAGACCCTTCCAGGACTACCCAGTTCCTAGAGGTGAAAATGACTCATTTGTAAACACGTCTACCATATGGAAGCCAACCAATCCGAGCCAATATCACAGCCACACCTTTGTTTATTGCCCCGCCCTAATCACTCCACAGCCCACTGATATGACTGAAACCAGCCCCTCTTGCGCTTTTTATCTGCCTTGCCCACTGTTTCCTGTGGAAACCACAAAAGCTCCTGCCCACGTTTCCTGCTTGCTCCCTCAGCCTCTTCACGGACCCTGAGCATCCCTACTGTCCCTTCCCTGTGGTAGGCCTGGCTCCTCCTCTAGGGATCTGTGTCTTTAATAGTAATCACCTCCTTACCATAACTGAATAATGAAACCTATGTAGCCTTTTTTGGCAGTACTGGGGCTTTATCTTGGGGGCTTGCACTTGCTAGGGAAGTATTCTATCATTTGAGCCACCTCTAGCCTCACATCTACACATTTTTAAAAATTATTGAGCTAATATTCAGATAACATAAAATTTACTTTTTAAAATGTACAATTTAATGGGTTTTAGTATAGTAGTAAATTGTGCAACAATTACCACCAATTGTAGAGCATTTTATGATTCTAAAATGAAACCTTGTGCGCATTTCCCCTCTTTGCTAGCCCTAGACGACCACTGATTATATCCTGTCTCTATGTATTCAAATAATCTGGACATTTCATATAAATGGAATCATATAGTATGTGGCCTTCTGTGAGTAGCTTCTTTCAACTGACTAATGTTTGAGTCTAATCCAAACTGTGTATATCAGTATTTTATTTCTTTTCATTGACATGTAATATTCCACTGCATAGATGTACCAAGTTTTGACTTTCGTGTGGACACAGGTTTTCAATTTTTTTTTTTGTGTTGCTTTAGTTAAACAAACTTAGAATAGAACATCTGGGTCATATGTAACCAAATGTACTTTTTAAAAAATGACTACAAGATACTGAAAATTCCTCTGCATGACAGTTCCTATAAAGTTTTCCTTTCAAGGAAGGTTGGAAACAGCTGACAGAAACTTCTCCAACCCTGAGGACAACTCATGTTGTGGCTGGTGACATGAATGCCTGGCAGTAGAAAAGCTAGCCACTGGGCATCCAGCCTCTTTATATTATTAACGTGTCTCTTTGCCTTAATAGCAAATCACAACAACAGCTAACATTCATTGAGCAATTCTTCAACGTTAGCTTACTCTGTCGATGTTGGCTATCGTTATGAGCTAAAAAAACAGAAGAGAGAACAGAATTCATAGGAGTAACAAAGAATATAGGTCACATGAAGAGAGACTTAAAAAAATAATGGCCTGGAGGCCCTAGGAAGAGCTCTTATGTTTGATATAAGTCCTAGACCGTCACTTCTGGGAAGTGAAGAAAGGGATAAGGATTGACTGTAGTGAAAAGGAACTGTGTGACAAATTCATGCACATTCCCCATAGATATTTTAGATACAATCTTGCCTACAGAGTTTAACCTACAATGATTAAAAATAGTGATTATAGAGGATTAATAGAACTGATGTCCCAGGAAATAGTATGCCAACAAAATATCCAGGAAATGGTACCTATTAGCCTGTTAAGAGTGAAAGGAGAGACAACTTAAAAGAAGAAAAAGGATTTCAGAAAGTATATCAGATCCTACATGTCACAGAATGGTTAAATTGTCTTCAGTATGCACTACTCAGGTAGATTATACCCATTAATTAAGTGTACAGAACAAGAATTTCAGTTACTTAAAATACTCTCTCTTGGACTCCTGACTGTGTCAACTAAACCAGGTTAGATGTAAGTACTCTGGGAGCAAGCAAGCAGACTTTTCCAGGATATATACAACAATTTCAGTGAATTATTCTTATGCAGCTTGCTGACACTATAATACTCACTAAGAAAAGATAGCGTTCTTGTGCTGATGTGTTCCGAGCAGCGAGTTTAAGGATCTGTCCTTCTTTTATTAGCTCATTTGAAGGATTTACAATGTCTTCTTCTTCTCCCAACATTTCGTAAATCTCTAAGAGTTTCTTCAGGTTCTCCTGGGAAATTAAAATACAGCAAGATCAACTATTAGAAGGCTTCAATTAAGTGATGAATACTACTATTACCTTAACTAAAATCTGCATAACTTGGGGGGGATTGGGAGTTAGCACACATTCTGGTATAAAATAAAACCTGAGAGAAAGAGGGGAGAGGATTATTACAGATAATACTAGATATTTTATAAACTTTTTTTTTTCCTTTGGTTCACTTATATCTGATCACTTTAGTCCAAACCTACAAAAGTATTAGGCTACGCTATTTACAATTGTCTAACCAGAAGGTTCCTGTCTCCTCTTAAAAACCACTTACCATTTTTCTTATTGCACTATTAGAATGGCTTGCTGCTGTAGATATAATTTCAAGTGATTCTGAATGGGAAAAAAAGAAAAATAAATAAATATGCTTTGTCTTTCCTATGCTATTAGGTAATTGAATAACTTATAAACTAAAATAAGAATAAACTAAAATCTGAGACCAAAAACACCATGAAAGTAGCAGCAATTTCCACTTACAAATTGGATTCTTTTGAAAATTCATTTGTAAGCAGATTACTTGAACTTGGAGGGTAGTTCTTTTAAACAGTCACATATAATTTTTAGGCTCACTGGTGTATTTAATCTGTAATGGGCCTTGAAAATCAACAAGTACTTTCAGTGTATACTAACCAGGCACAAAACATTTTGCCAGGTGATTTCATATGTACGGTAGTCCCCCTTATCTGCTAGTTTGCTGCAGTCTGAAAACATTGCATGGAAAATTCCAGAATTTATACATTCTAGGTGAGTTTTATTATAGTATACTATTATAATGGTTCTATTATTATTATTAATCTCTTATTGTGACTAATTTATAAATTAAGCCTTATCATAAGTAGGTAAGTACAAGGAAAAAAAACCAGTACTACATGTAGGGTTTGGTACTATGTGTGGTTTTAGGAGTGCATGAAACCTCTTGGACCCCCTGGGAATAAAGGGAGACTACTGTATTACCAATTAGTTCTTACATATCTTTGAGCACTAAGCATATTAGCTCCATCTGGCAAATGAAAGAAATGAAGTGATGCGACTCGACAAAGCCAAGATACTGTAGGGTCAGAGCTGAACCTAGGCCTTCTGACTCAAGGTTCTATAATATACTAGTTTTTTTGAGAAAATCAACTACTAAGTATGACCACTTTCTTTGGAAAAATGCATTCACAACTGTAGCCTCAGTCAGATGAACAGGAGTGTTTTGAAGCCAGTGTCAGAAGGTTTTGTTGCTGGGGGAGGTGGTAGGGAGAGGGAGGATGGGAACTTTGTGGTATGGGCATTGTAGGAGCTTCAGGGGCTGCTGGAGAGGAGCTACAGAAGCCAAGGGCTTCTGTTGGATCAACCCCAGGGAATACCTCTCAATCCTAAATCATGTCCTGTTTTCTTCACTTCTTTTCTGTCCTGTGAATACTGGCCTGCTCAACTCTGTTTCCACAACAACCCCATCCCTTCTGGCCTACATTTTTTGTGTTCTTTACACTGCTGAATAGAATGTGCTTTTGTTGCTTCTCTTCTACTTTTAGGTCTCTAAAAGCCCTTCTGTGATTTCACTGTGAGTAGCAGTGGGAAGCCAGGAAGAATAATAAAAGGTCCTACTATCTCCACAGCTTTCTTATCTTTTGACAAAGATATCTTAGGGAAAGGAAAAGGTTTTGGATATTGGAGATACTGCATTTTTAGTTTCATGTTCAAGAACTATCCAGTTTTGGGCAATCCTGTTCATTTGACACAGGGTCCAGGATAGAGGGAGACGAAGTAAGACAGGTTGGTGTCACTGCTCAAATGACAATTTCAAGGAATTCTACCTCCAGTCTACCAAAGCTCTACCACTAAAACTCAGCACTTGGGCTAGAGGGGTGGAAAATAGGGATGTGGCAGAATTTCCAGGAAGTAGCCGGCTAGGGGAAAATGGCAAGTCAAATTCATGCTAAACTGGAGAAGAAGAAAGGAGAAAGAAGTTTCTGTGTCAGTGAGTCACTTTGATGGTGGGAAAACACAATGAAGACAGCTGTATTCAAGACAAGACTCAGGCTCCAAAGTCTGAGTCCATTTATAATACAAAGCAAGAAATTATAAGGGAAAACAGCAATGTTTTAAAACATTACACCACTATCATTAGCACTTGTTAAATACAAAGCCATTTCTAGTTCTTAAATTTTTAATAATGTCTTCAAAATTTAATTGATTTTCAAAACTGCAACAGAGGCCTGTAGGTATGGCTCAGTGGTAGAGTGCATGTTTATTAGCACGTGATATGTGAGGCTCTGGGTTCAATCCCTAGCACCAAAAACAAAATAAACAAAAATTGTGCAAGAAAGCTAAAGCATTATTGAAATATTATTAAGTCTTTAAAAAAGCCTTTCATTCCAACCTGATGAAGAAATTAAAAAAAAAAAACTAACATATGGAATAAAGTTTTCTCAGAGAAAATGTTATTAGACAATGAAGTGTATCATTTCCTGTTATATCTTAGAGTAGGTGAGGCCAACTTTGGTTAGGTTATCTTTACATGGTAAATGTCAACTTTCTCAGCGTGCATCAGTCTAATTAAATAGCACTTGAAACTCCAAATGGTGGTGTTCTTCTCGTGAGAAAGTAATTGTGTACTGCTATTCCAGATGTCTCTAGGAATAGAGTTTCAGATCTCAGAGTCAGAGATTAAGGTCAATCAGGAGGGAATCATTATTTGTATTTTTCTAAATCTGATTTTGGCTCGAAAGTGGTTTGTCTAATTGAGGGTTGATAGCAATTTCCAGTGAAATTATTTTCTGATGACAATGTGTGACTAAAGAAGCTGTGACACATATCTCACTTTGGAGCTACAAGTTCATGATCCTATACTGGATGAGGGAAAAGCATTTACTTTTTGCGTCATTCCAGTCGAGGGAGTCAGAGGGCAGTTTCCGTAGGTAGTCCTTAAGGAGCATCTCATACCGAGGAATCCGCTGAACAGGTTCCAGCATGTGGTGCTGCAGAGTTAAGCTCCCACAGATCTTCTGTTTCTATAACAAGCAAGGTTTTTAAAGGCACATTGAAAATTACATTAGCCAGTCTAAAAACTCAATGTAATATATTCAGAACTTTCATTGAGGGTGAGAGTTTTCTACACAGTGTGACTTTGTGTTATCTGCATTAAATATATCTGGGGTGTTTTAAAAAATGCAGACTTGTGAACTGTACCCCAATCTATGAAATCATAATTTTGGAGGAAGAAGCTAGAGAACACACATTTTAAAACACCCCATATTCTTGTAACATTGAAGTCTGAGGACTACTAAAATCTAGTGAAAAAAAATGAAGCAGAATTTTAAGCAAGAAAATTCCAAACTGCTAGCAACCACTTTTATTGTCACTATAAGGGTTTATGAAATCATATTATCAAATCATTCTACAGAGAGTTTCAAAAGATGCACTTGTTTAATGAGGTTCACTAAACCCAACTCTACTAAATGTCTTTGGACTTAGCAGAAACTATTTCATAATAAGGCTGTCATAAATGTCAATTCCTTTGAACTAAAAAAAAAAAGACTTCATATAAAATGATAAGATTTGGGCCTCCTGTTATCTGCAAGAAAAATCTATTTTTCATTAGGTCAAGGCATTCTTCTTCATTAGAAACCAAGCTCCAATTTGTAGAGCAAAATCAAGCCTGCATTACTTGCTTGCAATATGTTTAAGAGAGGGAAAAACAGGTTGTGTTTTCGTATTACACAAAGCAGAAATCCCATTAAAATACCTACTGAACTTATACCACAATCAGGGATATGAAAGTTGTATTGGGACATAGTGTTTACATTCAAAGCAAACAAGTAATTAAAGGCTTTAGAAGGAAAACAGCAGTTAGCACCATCTTGATGGGTGCAGGTGCTGGTGGGAAGTAAGGAACACTAGGGAGCAAGTCCAGGAGCAGGACCTGAGAGAACAGGCACAAGGTAGTGGTGCATGAAATGTGTTCAGAAAAAGGGAGCAGCTGGGTTTTCTTGGTGAATAAGATAAGCATAAGTAAACAGGACAAGGAAGACAAAATAATATGAGGTAACAGTGTCAAAGATTCTCACAGTCAAGCCGATATAATGCAGGTTTTTGCGCACAGGAGTGATGTTATTACATCTAAGCTTTAATAAGATTAGCCCTACTGCAATGTGGCCTTAGGGGGATGTGGAGAAATTAGTTGGAAAGTTGTTATTGTAGTTAAGGAAGAAAGTAATTAAGAATCCAAAATTGATGTGGAAGCTCAGGGAATAAAAGTTTCCCCTTAATAAATGTAAGGTATTACTTTTATAAATTTAACTATCTCATTTGGCTTTCCCTAACACAGCTATTATATATGTATCTCCAGGAAAATATGATGGATGCACAAATTTTTACATGAAGAAACCAAGGCTCAGAAAAAATAGAGTTTTCTGAGGAGAAATAACTACAAGGGAAGACAATAAAGTCTAAACTACACTGCTTTAGTTCTAGTTTACCACGCTTGTTACAACTCATGTCATTTCCTCATAATATGGGGAAGACAGACATTGCAGAATGTAGAATTTGATAAAACAGTAATTACCATAATTATTGCCACCACTTAGTAAGTTACTATGAACTGTGCTTATGAACACCTTGAATGCATCTCACAACAAAATGAGCATATACAGATGAGGAAAAGTGACAGATCAAAAGTTGTCATGCTCTAGTGAGTGAGAGAGAAATGGTGTCATCTAAGACAACCAATTACATGTCAGAATTATTACCTACTCTGTGCAAGGCAAAAAAATCAGATGGAAAAATTGCTTTGGAGCTATCAATAGAAACTGACTTTATTTTGATAAGATCTTCACACAAAAATATGCAAACCACACTTAGTCATTAGTAGCTTGAGTTAGGGATAGAAGATTAGACTAGGAACAGCAACCCTTGAGGTATCATCAGCATGATAATTAAGACATGAAAAAATAGGATGTCACTGAAGATAAAGAGGCAAAGAGAATGAAAAAAAATTAATCTCTGTCCAAATTCAAGTATTAGCAAGAATAATGAAATAAAAGAAAAAGGATCAGTGTTTACAAAGGTAGATGAGTAATCATAAAAGAAAAGAGATGCTGATAAAAGGAATGAAGAAGATGAAGCAGGACTTGTGGTTGAATGTGGTCACTGGCAAATCTTCCACATTAAAACAGTTGTCAAGCTACATAAAAAACAACCATTCAGTCAACTTTAGAAATTGACTGAAGGTATACAATAATCTGACAAGCGTTTATGCTTTAAAAATTGTTGAGCTATAGATCAGTGAGAACCTATGGTATTCTGGCTAGGGACTCCACCCATCCTTCTTCCAGCTCTGTCAATGTGAGGGCTCTGCTAGGGCAGTGCAGGCTGTGAGAACCTGCAGCCTCTGTGCTCAGGTTGAAGGGGGTTCGTTTGATTTAGAGTGGGTAATCCCCACACAGAGAAACCCCATCATCAGAAGTGAGGAACAATGGAGTGGGTGGGAGGAGATGGCCAATGGCTCTGCCAGCCTGAAGTTGTGGTTGTGAGTGGGATAATCATGAGACATTCTTGGCTGAGATTGTGTGGCTGATTAACAGAGACTGGAAATAACCCAAGACAGTACTTTCTCCTTGCATTCCTGAGACTGTGTACATGTGGATAGGAGATAAGAAAGGGCCCAGTGGGTTCAAATGTGACCTGATTTTTAAAGGGACCCCCTTACCCACAGTGAAGTCCATCAACACAGGAGAGAAGCTTAATGGCTCTAGAAAGTTGAGCACCTCTGTCCAACAGCTGCTTGACCCCCTAACTTACTCAGACATAGGACAATCTTTAGAAAGTCAGGCTCACAAATAAACACAATAGTCAACAGAAAACATAAATGGAGACATTAGTGATGCACACTAGAGGAGTAACAGATTTTACAGATGTAGTCTAAGTAAGTTACTAAACAAAGAAACAAAAACAATCACAACCACTTTCAGTGGGGACAATGAGTATCTAGAGTTGTTGTGATAGGTTTTCTAAAATATCCAATATTCACAAAACTATGAGACATTCAAAGATAAAGTATGACCTGTAATTGAGAAAAAAGGCAGACAATAGAAACTGCCTCTGCGTGTCTTTAGATGTTGGATGTGGCAGATAAAGGCTTCAACATAGCTACTAAGAATATGTTTAAGGAAATGCGATAATGCTTGAAGAATGAAAGGAAAGTATGAAATCAATGAATGCACAAATAGTAATTTTCAAAGGGGTAAAGGGAGAGGTAGGGAGAAACAGATGGAGAGAGAGGGGGAATGAGCCAAATGGAAATTCTGGAGTTGAAACGTAAAACTGAAGTAAGGAATTCACTACAGGGGTTCAAGAGCAGATTTGAGATGAAAGAATAATCAAGGAACTTGAAGAACAAGGAATAGAAATTGTACAATCTAAAGAACAAAAAAAGGGGAAGATTAAAGAAGAAAAATGAACAGTTTCATGAATGTGTGGGAAAACATCAAGAAAACCAACATTTGTCTAATGGGAGTCAAAAAAAACAAGGAGAAAGAAAAGGATAGAAAACACATAAAGGAAGATAAAATGGCTGAAAACTCAAAGTGATTTAAAAAATAATCTTGCAAGCAAGCCCAACCAACTCAAAAGTAGGATAAACACAATTTAGACACATCGTATTCCAAATGCTGAAAGGCAACAACAGAGAAAATCTTAAAGCAGCAAGAGAAAAACAGACCATGACAAGTGGCTGGGTACTAACAAGAGCAAAGCCTGATTTCTTTTTTTTTTCTTCTTCTTCTTCTTTTTTTTTTTTTTATTGTTGTGCTGGGGGTACATTATGGCATTTACAAAAGTTCTTACAATGTATCAAGTATTTCCACAGTTGAATTTACCCCCTCCATCATTCTCCTTTATCCTCACCTCCTTCCATTCCTGGAATAGATGCAACAAGTCAAAGGCTGACTTCTTATGTGAAATAATGGGGGAAGAAAGTAGGAAAAGTGAAATGTTCAAAGTTGTGGGAAAAGAAGTCCATCAACCAAGAATCTGTATTCAAATTAGCATTCAAAAGGGAGGGAAAAATAAGGGCATTCTCAGACAAAAACAAGACTAGCAGAATTCATTGTTAGCTAATCTACTTTAAAAGAAACAGTAATCATTTTTATGCTGAAAGCAAATTACTCCAGAAATGGCAAATTATAATACAAAATATATTTATAGATACATTTTCTCATATTTTCCCATAACTTTAAAAAATACATAAAGTTATACAAAGCAATTATAGCACTACACTGTTGGATTTAAAGCACATGGAAGTGTGCTATATGACACAAACAGAACTGAGCATGCAGGAGTGAGCAGAGATATATTGGAGCAAAGTGTCTGTATTTTACCAGAATTAAGGCTCGTGTAATCTGAAGTAGGCTATGATAAATTAAAATGCCATAAAAACTATTTATATAACACAAAGGTGGCTGGCAATCATGAAGCCACAAAATTCAAACTAAGAGTATTATGTGACACAGAGAACTCCTCTTCCATATTTAAACTGCATCAGAGAGTAAGTTGTTAACAATTTTGAATTTTGACTAGAGAGTAGAAATTACTATGGAATTACTAAACAGGTTTGGTAAAATAAGAGAAAATCAGGATATAGATATATAGTGACCAAAAACCCAAGAGATTTCTAAAATCTCAAGGTTTGACAGCAATCATTCTACATATTCCTTCCAATATTTGAACCACTAAGAGAATGGGAAAGAGGCAAGACTGGAAACTCACTTTGCAAAAAACCAAAACCAAAAATTTTCTTTTTTTGAGATGGGGTCTCACTAGATAGGCTGGTCTAGAACTCTCTTCCTGCCTCAGCCTCACAAGTGCTGGGATTATAGATGTGTACCACCATGTCTGGCTTGCTTTATAAATTTATGTAGACCCTAATAAAGCCAGCCTCTACTGGTTTCAAAAACAAATGGAGAACTCACCCTTTAGTATGTGGCATGTGCTTAACAAATACTTTATGTTGGGATGATCTTTGTATAATTCAGACCAAAATGGAGTTTGGGTAAGAAGAGCAGATAAAATCTCTAGATCTCAATTTTAGATCTAGAAGACCATATGATATATATGGAAAAGTTAATTCATAACCATGAACAAAACTGTCCTATTACCTGAATTTCTTCAATCACTGATTTGAACTGGGGAACACGTTCTGTCATGTTTTTAACCAATTCCATGGCATTATCAAATCCCTTCACGTATTCTCCATACATCTTAAGGAATGGTGCCAATTTCTGAAGGATGTCTCCGATTCTGGGAGTAGTTTCCCTGTTCAAATATAGAAATGAGTCATTAAGGTTTCTTATAAAATGAGCAATTTAACAGGACTCCAGATAAAGCCATCACCTTCAACACACACCCTGTGCTTTATCAGAACCACTTCACTGAGAGAATAAAGAGGTACCTTTCCAAATGGAGTTTAGGAATGGTATAGTAAAGAGAGATGCTATGACTGTGCATGGTGGCACGTGCCTGAAATCCCAGCACATCAAGGCCAGCATGGACCTTTGTCCCAAAAAAAAAAAAGTGCTTGGAGAGCAGAGATGAAATTCTTTTTAGTGAAAGCTGAAAATGTACGACCTAATGGAAAAATTGGCACAATTGGAAAAATTGGCACAATGTCCAATTTTAGCTGCATGTAGCATTTCTACTTCAATTTAAAAACCAAAAAACACAGCACCTTGCATAATTGCCTTAGACCATCATATCTATCCACTCCTCTTACCATTCTTGCATGCGTTTCTCCAGCTCTGGTAATAGGAATTTACTATGGAAGGCATTTATTGATGAAATGTTAGAAAAGATTTTATTCACCATCTCTGCGGGAAATGAGCCTCGGTTTGCTTCTTCCAATAATTTGCAATAAAACACCTGAGTAAAGAATAAAGCAGACATGCCTTTAGGTTTGTTGTTTAACCAACTAGCACTGTGCTCAGGCTATAGCGTATTCATTCAAATTGCTGTTGTATAAATGGAGTTCAGAGCTGAAGAAATCAATCCTTGTCTGAAATGTAGAAATGAATATACATTCTTTGATTTGAAAGAACCATGAATAAGAACTAGGAAGCATAGCCAGGCATCAGTGGCTCACGCTTATAATCTTAGCTACTCAGGAGGCAGAGAATAAGGAGGATCATGGTTCAAAGCCAGCTTGGGCAAACAGTTCTCGAGATCCTATCTCAAAAATACCCAACACACACAAAAAGGACTGGTGGAGTGGCTCAAGCAGTTAAGAACACTTGCCTAGCAAGCATGAGGCCCTGAGTTCAAACCCTAGTACTGCCAAAAACAAAAAAGCTTCGATTCTAACCCAGGTTATGCGCTTATTCTTGGAATGTTAAGGTTTATAATATACCTTTTTTGTGCCAGAGATTAATAGGATTTACCCTTCTGATCCATAGCTAGAGTTAAGGAATGTGAAAATGCTTTATTACACACAATAATTGTATTTTTCACTTCTAATTATGTTTTGATGACTTCTACAGCACTTAATACTCTCATTGTAGTTTGTTAACGTAAATCTCATTTTTCCTATTAAAATTGTATATACCTTGAAAAGGGAGGAGAATGATTTAGTTTTCCCAATAGAACAAGCTTTTAGGATCTGGCCAATGATTGAACAAAAGATTCTTTTATTTTTTATTTTTATTTTTTTGATGAGACTGCGGTTTGAACTCAGGGCTTCATGCTTGCAAAGCAGGTATCTTACCACTTGAGCCACACCTCCAGTCCATTTTTCTTTGGTTATTTTGAAGATGAGGTCTCACAAACTATTTGTCCAGGCTGGCCTTGAACCTTGATCCTTTCAATCTCAGCCTCCCAAGTCACTAGGATTATGGGCATGAGCTGCTGCTATTCAGCAAAAGATCCTTTTAGTTTTCAGATGTTTACTTGCTTTTTAGTAAATAATAATGCATGACAACTTGAAACACTGGTATGTGTGTGTGGTGGGGGAAATCTTATTCTGTAAATAGTAACAGGTGCCTTAATGAGAATTATAAAACAATTAAAAGCACCCTGTAGTCTTAACTGTATTCCACTAGGGCTACTATATCTCTTAATGCCACTCTGTTACATGTAGGCAGAAGGAGTTCTGTTCCTTCATAATGTCCAGATGGTTGTTCATTTTCTGAATTCATCTCCATTGTATTTTCTTGGGAGGCAAAAAGAACACAAAATTATGTCCTTAGAGACTCCAATAGATAGGATACTATAGTAATTAAGACACTAACATTCTAAAAGGTCAGCAATAGCAGCCAAATCAATTTGGCTTTAAAAAAAATACAACTTGCTAAGAGGGAATCTCTACAATGGGAAAATCTCAATGTTATAGGCCTATAATTCCCATGGGGAAGAAAAATTGTTTCAAAGGCCCAAACGCCACATGAATTAATTTTATTTTATGGTGAATTTCCTTGAAAAGTGAGTATTTGAGCTTCAATCTCAAAACACAAACCTTCAACTGGCTCCTTAAGGTTCACACTACCAGCACCTAAGTTCCCTTTAGGAACTCATGGCAACATGTGCCCAGGACCACTTGTTGCCATGAAATTCCAGGTTTCTAATGGCAGGAGGAGGATAATTCTTCTTGCAAGTAACACTTAAGGGTGGCAACTTTCTCTTTTAACAATAGAAGTCTGTATTAGTAATGTACCAATGCTTTAGTTTTCAATAGTTAGTCTTATGTAGTTAAAATCTCTCCAAATGCATACATGATATCATCCTCAAGGCTCTACCATGATGAAAGTACAAAGTGTGATAAAGTAGATTCACATATTCAACAAATACTGATTGGATAGCCTGGCATATGTTTCATACAAGTTTGAATACAGTGAACTGTCAAAATTCTATGACTGTATCAGGTAATTACTCACATAGTGTTCAACAGCAAACAAGACAAACAGAATCAGCAATATTGTCATGCTAGCTTTAGCATCACCAATATCTTAGTAGTTAGGTTATAATAGTGGCATGGCCTTATAGTAAATGTCCAAGAAACAGACTAATGCTTAACATTATGGGACACAGATAAAGTCATTTTGTGACTTGTGCAAAGAGAAACATCTACTCTTACAAATTAGAAAAAATGCTTATACTCAGTGAATTTACCAATGACACTGGAAGTGCCATTTCCTTGAGCAAATGGCTTTCATTAGCCAAAACAGTCAGGCTCACATGGCAGTTTCTAAAACTTTAATTACTAGATTAAAATGATGCATATGCCAAAAGGGAAAACATTACCTGATCTAAGAGGTCAAGTCGGTTGACATAAGCTCTTTCTGTAAGCAAAAGTTCATTGGCTATTTTGTAAAGTTTTTGTTCATTAGTCTCCTGAAAAAAAAAAAAATTCACATATTGGAAAAGGAACCTTGGGCAATATTTCTCAAGTAGTAAACACTTTATCATAAAGTTTGATCAAAGAAGTTTCTTAAGTTTCTCAAGTATTCAATTTCTTCCAGCAACAAAAGAACATTCAACCAGAACATTAAAACCTGTTGAAGTTATTTTAAGAAGGGGAATTGGGTAGGAGGGATAATAATGGAGGAGATGAATCAAACCTGGGTATAATACATGTATATATGGAAATATTACAACAAAACTCCCTGTAAAACTATCAGATACTAATAAAAATGTTTAAAAAAAGAACATTCAACCAGAAATGAACAAAATTAGAACAAAGCAATTAGAATTGAACTGTAGCTTCCATAGCTTCTGCTGCAGTTAACACTATCTACTTTTTCCTTAAAATATCTTTTTTCAGTTCCCAGCACTTACTTTCCTCATTTTCACTTTCTTCTCTCATGCTGTTCTTTGAAAATGATTTCATCTCTCTCTCAGACATCTTGTCTAATTATTAGCTCTTATGTGAACAACATTTTGCTTTTTTTTTCTTCAGTACTGGGGCTTGAACTCTGGGCCTTGTGCTTGCTAAGAAGGCACTCTATCAGTTGAGTCACATCTTCAGCCCAGTGTTTTGCCTTTTAAAAACCATTTTGTGTGTCAGATGTGGTGGTTCACGTTTGCAATCCCAGCTTCTGGGAGGCTGAGGCAGGAGGATCATAATTGAAGATAGCCTGGGCTACATGGCAAGACCCTGTTCCCACCTCCCCCACCAAAAAAAAAAGAACAATGCCGACTGCAATGTATAAAAAATTTTTATGGACTAGAGGTTCATGAAATTTCAGGACTGAGGATAAAATCCAGACTATAGGTACCACTCAGGGCTATTCAGACCTCTACCCACATCCTTAAACTTATTTCTCATTGTATCTTTTAAAGGCATCTTTCTCCAAACACATCAATCTAACACGTTAGATCGTTACCCAAGCATGTCCCTGACCATCTCAAGCCTTCATTCCTTTCATCCTCTCTGCCTGGCTTTTGATTGTCTCTCTCCTGGTGTCTAAGATTTTCTTTTCCATGGTGCTTTGTTAAACTGTTCAAAGCCTTTAGGCTTTGTCCTATTAGAATGCATTTTATATTTTATAAAGTAAGTCTTTATATTGAGAAATTCACTGCTGGAGATTATGAAGTACAATAATGGTTTAGGAAAAATCCTAGCAGCAAAGTAGACCAACATATGTTTTAAATCAGTGTCATAATTTGTATATACACGCTAAATTTTAAACTGTACATAAAATGCTATTAAGTTCTTGTGTTCAACACAAGATCTACTTCATGCTTTATGTGCAATATCCATTCTTTTGTACAAAGTTATCATCTTGTTTCTTACAGAAGCACTGGAATGAGGTGTTTTTATGTGAAGTCTTTAGAGCCTAGGCTACATAGTGGGACTGTGTGTGTGTGTGTATACTATGTAGTTATCAATTTCTTCAGTTAGTCAAGATTTTGAGTTAATGAATTCAAGACACAGTACTGGCGTTGTTGATTGCCTGCCTGGCATCCTCTCCCTTGTTCCCCTAATTCTTAATATATCCAGATATAGTTAATGTATATATCCCACTGCTATGGAGTAATTTCCTTTGGGGAAACTGAGCTCATTCTCAGATCAAAAGGTGGGCCTTGACCAGTAACAAATCAAAGTACAATGATTGGGTTAGGAGACAGGGAGACAATAGGTGGCTCTCTACTCTTTGGGTAGAGCCATAGGAAAAAAAGCTCTCTGGGGCTTTGTGAGAATGAGGATTCATGAAGGCTTAAGTCCTAGAGTGGCTATCCTGTAACCACAGGGATGAAGCCAACGAAGTTTGCCATTGTTTAGGCCTGGATAAGTGCTATTTGTGATTAGAAGCATCCTGGTTAATACAGAAACCTTAATACTATGACCACCAACTCAGTGTACACAATGGAATTGAAACAGCTTTCAAGTAACTTTTAAGTAATTATTACTTGTTGAGGAAAAAAAAAGATGAAAGTCAAATACTTAGAGATAATGAATAAAAATGTGGCATTTAAACCTGTAATAAATGAACAATATGAACATGTAGAAAAATCCTATCAACATTTCAGGGAAAGAAAGAAAATCAGACTGTCCTTCACACTGGCCTGAATTTACATGACAATCCCTTCATTTTAAAGCCTCATTTACTAAGGTATAAACAGTAAAACTCTGCCTCTTTGGTGTGTAGTTGTAGGAATTCTGACAAATGCATACAATCTTGTAACCATCACAATCAAGATGCAGAACATTTCTAGCCTAAATTCTTCTTTCATCCTTCTGTTGTCAGCCTTCTCTTCACTTCCATGCTCCAAGCACCAGCTCCTGGTAACCACTGTTTTGCCCACTCCCAGGAAGGCATGCAAGTGGAATCACACCCAATGGGCCTTCTATATCTTGCTTCTGTCACTTAGTAAGGTACATTTGGGATACATGAGGTTTTTAGTATTAGTTTGTTCTTTTGAAGACCTTAGTTTCATTCCAATAGTATCTTTTACGTGGTCTGCTTCTAGTTCTGACAGTATCTTCAAAGAAAACAATCCAGCAGAAGTTATGCCATAATAAAATACTTTTATGAGCCAGAAAATGTTAACCAGGTTACATGTTCTATTATTACTACATATTGAAAACATCCCTGAAATATTCCACACTTCTACAGGATCTTAAGTAGGAAGTTTATAAGAAACAATCTTTTGCTGACAACAAAGTATGTATTAGCCGAACTTGGCAAATTGTGGATATTCTGGTCATATTTTGCAAAATCCAAGGAGCATGGCAGCAGTTATTAGCAAACGCTCTGCTCCTTCCACACAGATGGTCTTCTACACATTGGGTCCTTGACCTTGCCAAAGCCAACATAAAGATAAGCAAAAGCAAGCTTGCTGGCAGTCAGTTTAATCACTCATTTACACATATAAGTTTGCAGAAAAGTTACTAAGGATAGTGTGGTAGAAATTATGGACTCATGAAGCCTTGCTTTAGGTTAATTGAACAACATTATCACCATAATAAGAACAGTTAACACTTACTCACTGATTGCTTGCTATGTGCCAGACTGTTGTATTTTATAGAAACTGACTGATCTTCTACACTTCTACAAAGTAGGTACCATTTCTATTCCTATTTTGCAGGCAACATAAACAGAAAACAAAATACTGAGCTAAAGGATGCCAGGTAATGTACCCAAGGTCACACAGTTACAAGGCGACTGTATCAAACTGCAGTGATAAAGGAGAGTTCATGATTTTTAGATAACTACTCAGTATGGACTTTGACTCTCTAACTCATCTTTTTTTGAAGCAAAAATGACTGTGATGTTTCCCCTAAAGGAAGCAGACTAACAAGATACAAACTAACTGCTTACAAATGGAATGTGGTACTTACTATGCATTTTAATTTATACATTGTTTTTTACAACATAAATTCTATTTAAAGCAGACTTCCTAGCATTTTAGTAAGAATTATTAGGAGTACAACCTGATGGCTGATTGTCAGTCATTTTAATGTAATGTAATGGTTTCCAACTTTAAAAAGTTACTTTATGTACTGAAACTCAACTATGAATACATTTATGGAGAAATACAATTTATCCACATGGATAGAGTTCTGTGAAATTATCTATGTATGTTTGTGCCTCAGTTCCTGGCTCATAACCTCCTCCCTAATGCAGACCACAGAAGCTGGAATTTCTTGTCCCCAAGGCAGATCACAGAAACTCTAATATTCCTCCACCTTTCTGTCCTGGAGCTGGCCATACAGAAATCATAGATCTTAAGACTCTTCTCATTCAGGAGGGGTCTTATCCTACCAATAACCTGGAAGAAAGAATACTGCACAAAGACGCCAAGAAGAATCTGAAGAGACAGGCCTTGCTAGGTTTCCTAATGCACTCTATCAGCGTGAAGTCTCCATAAAAACCAAGACAGGGTTTGGAGAACACCAGATAGCTGAATACATGGACGTCCCTGAAGGGTAGCACGCTCTTTCCCATCTCTTGCCCTAGGAAACTCTTCATCTGCTTCTTTTGTAATAGTCTTTATCATAAATCAGTGAACAAAAGTGTTTCCCAAAGAGGCAGTCTTGGGGACTGAGCCCTCAACCCTGGGCTCCTATGCTATCTCTAGGTAGACAGAATGAACTACATTTAAAGATGCCTACTTGGGGTCCCTGAAGCAGAGATGCCTGACTGCTTGCTGGTGGGGAGAAAATCTTACACACTTTGTTATCACAGAAGTGATCTGTGCTGTGAGTGTGTAGGAGAAACTGAATTTGGGTTGATTTTTCCTTCTGTATCATCAGGCTGTACTAGATTAATGTATAAAGAATGAAGTAGTTTTAATTTTTTTTGACTTTTGCTATGCTAGGAATCAAGCTTGCTAGGCAAGCACTCTACCACTGAGCCCCACCTTCACCCCTGAAGTAGTCATAAAACTACTGTGCAACTGCTGGGGGTGTTCCTATTTTTTTTAAATAAGAAAGTTAAATAACAGTTTCTTAATACCTGTCATTTACAATCTACTTTCTTTTAGAGAAGTCTAACAAATAACCTGATATGTCAAACTTATAAACTTATGAATTATAAATGTTTAATTTTAATAACTAACATTAAGCAGCATCATACTTTTGGTATTCCTCTTTAAACTAAAGGGATTTAAAAAAAAATTACAAATGTTACTACACTCATATCTTGAAAGCTGATTCTCAGGGTACTGCCTCAAAACAAAAATATATTATATCTAATCTACCAGAATCAAACAGACACACCCCTCTTACAATAATAGCGTACACAACTTTTTCTTTCTGCTTAGTGTACCAGGTAGGCTATTTCCATGTGCTCTGTACCTCCAACACCCTTTAGGAGACATTGCTCTTCTCTTTCTCTCGCAAGTTCAGTTCAGCCTTGTTATTAGTCATGGTGCCCACTGACTCATGA